TTTGGATGTTCAACAGATATAATACAATGTTCGACGTGGCAAATAGCCATGAAACTAGTTGTTTTCTGTTGAATATTCAGAATGATATGTGCATATACATATATTTATATGAAGGAGAATGCAAACTCACTTTTCAGAAGATTTTGTTTTCAAATTTTATCGTGTATGTTCGTGATGGCATATAGCCAGGAAAGTAGTTGTTTTCTGTAGAATACACCAAGAAAAAATTGATATTTTCGTCACATAGAGAATGCGAATTCTCAATGGTTTTCTTTATATAATATACAAGGTGTTCTTGAAATAAGTACATAATCAGCACATGGATATGATACAGTCTAACGAATATTCCCAGGATATCAGATTTTTCCTAACTCTTTCAATTAATAAGAAATTTTATCCAAGAAATTGAACAAAAAACGGGAGAAAATCAAATATGCCACTTTAAAACAATTTAAATGATTGAAATCCGCGTGATTGTGCCTTCCGCATGAAAATTTGAACAGAGGTGACGTCATAATTGCTACAGGTGGAACTTTTGGTGGAAAAAAGGATCTAACCTCGAATTTTCTTTTGACCCCTATATTTTTTTTATTGGTGCCACTCGATAGTATACGTCGAGCTTACTCAAGATTTGAAATATTTGCACTTATTTCAATGCCTCCATGTATGTATCCTTTTTTATGTTCATAATTATATCTGAGAATATTATATTCCTTTTAAATAATTAAAATCATACCCATGAAGTCACATTTTACTAGCTGGACAGGAGCCTAAAATATTCCAAATAAGAGCATGGTTAGATTAGACATAAAGTGAATAATATAAATAAATATTATCCTTCATAATCTTGTTTACCATGACATGCAGGTATTTTTTCGAAATCAAACTGAATGTTTATATGTCAAGCCATGAATCAGTTGATTCATTGTTCACTGAAGTATCAATAATCATTCTATTGCTATTCATATTGCAATTCAATTCAAAATTTTAACGGCTTTGTTGACGTGTGCCGTTACTACAAGGTATGCACTATTATGATAGTGCGATAACTGAAATTGATGGATAAGATCAGCGTGAATCATTATAAGTCCTAGTTTATTTCTTATCATGGTTTACCTATAACTTCATAGCTGATTGTGCAAACATCTTATCTTGATATCAAATATTTTTGTTACCTCATCATCATTATGTCTACAATGATCCAGAAAAATCTTGTATATAGGCTTATTCTACACTAAAATTGAACCTTGATATATAGTTAATTTAGGAATATATATACCCAGCGAGCACAAAAACATCTCAGAGATGTTAAAAGTGCGAGATTTCGAGACATTGAACCTCCACTGCGATGTTCTGTTCACACATGAATAAAACTATTATAGAACAGCCAATGTCCGCCGCAGGCGGCAATTATCGAGATGTCCTTGATATGTCACAAAACTACCTTCTCCCTAGTTCTTTTTAAAACCTTTTCATGGACACAACAGAACATTTTCAACGCGTCTTGCGCACATTGAATCGCTGTAAAAAAAATATTTTCGAGGTACTTTTCTGAAGCCTTTTGTCAAAATGAACTTCTGCATTGGATTCCATTTCCCTTGAATGAAAAAATGCATTAAAAATAGATTGAACATAAAAATATTTTCTTGATATGAAATCACCTTCTTAATGGGTTTCTGAGTAGTGCTTACTATACACAGACATATAATTGGAAATAGGTTTCCCAATTTTTGAAATGTTCTCCACAATGCATAATTTTGCAACTGCGGAGAAGCTGTGTATTGATAAATTCGTACTTTTATATATTGATTACACTGAGGCACCGAACAACACATCTTGCATCTGATGGTCATTATTAAAAACTAAATCTTCTTCTAACACAATAAACTTCACCAAATTCCTTTCTGTTCGTTAGCAGCGTGATGTAAGCGTGACACGCTGCAAACGCGAATGCCAATTGCGAACAAGAACAAAATCGAAAACAAATCAGAATTCATCGTATTGTGACGTAAGCATGAGACATTGTGGTGGGGCAAACAAAGAAAGGGCACAAAAGAACAAAACAAATACTTTCAATATCCATCTGAGACCTCTTTGGGAAGTGCATATTACGCCTCAAAAAAAACATCCTCATGCCTACATTTCTAAAACATCCCAAAACATCCCAAAATATCCCAGGGATACCTCTCAGTAGGCAAACAAAGAAATGCCACAGAAGAACAAAAACAATACTTCAATATCCTTCAAAGACCTCTTTGGTCAGTGCATATTACGTCTCAAAATAACATCTTCATGCCAACATTTTCAAAACATCCCAAAACATCCCAGGGATGTTTGTGCTCGCTGGGTAGTTTGTATGAAATATTATTCGAGGCACTGAAAATTCTTCGTTCTCTGAATTAACCATATGTTTACTTTATTTTAATGGTATTGGTAGTAGGTCTCCTCTGTTCAATTTTCAGACAAAGAAAATATTGAGTTGAATTATGCAGTAACTGGTTTCACCACTATGGTATTCTTTGAGTAAGAAGAAATATTGAATATCGCAGTTCTACCCCTATGTAAAATTTTAACTAAGCTAAAATATAACACTGTTTCATGAAATTTCATACCATACCTAGAATCTCAAATAATTTCAAAAAATGTATCCATTGAGGCTTATAAAATCTTTCAGAGAAATATCATTGATCCATTTTTTAAATCAGGTCGATTTTATGTTAACGATAATTATTATTATCATTATAAGTATTCATATTCTATTATTATGGACAATTCACTATTCAGTCCGTTACCTACATCTAGCTAATTTTCCTCCTGCATGGCAATAATGCATATTATAAAGAAAGTTTAAACGTGTGTGGATGATAACTATAGGGGCACCATATTGCTTTAAAGAGGGTACCCTTATGGACCATCTTCATTTGTATGCGAACCTGATTATTCACCCTTGCACCTGGAGGAAACATCTTCTCTCCATTTACAGTGTGTTTCAATTTCAGTAGATGAATCTATCAAGATTGATGAAATAAACCTCTGGTGTACGCACTTCAATCCTTTCCTGTTTTACAATTCCTTGATTTTCGCCTACTTCGATGAACATAACATGGCGTGGGTGAATGTCGCTAAATTTAGTCTGGTGCCGTACCAAAATTACAGGCATCAATGTGACAATTGTGACCAATAAAGATAGGGAATACGTTTTGCGATTTAGCCGCATCAAGGTTGGTAGAACTGATGTTGATCATAAGTTCTAAGAATCACGCCATCTAACATTCGATATGTGAACCCCACGTCATCGTCTGAAATTCAATTGTTTATATCAAGAACCAGTCTGACGGAACAAATGAAGAGTGAGAGCACCAGAGGTTTATTTCATCAATCTATCAAGGATATCAATTGACATTAACCCACAGAACTCATAATCTTTATACCTTACGACTAGAACGCGCGATCCTATATGGTTTCATACCAAATTGCTGAACCAATGACGGCTAAATATCTAGACTGTCTGACGGGTTATACATTTTCTCCTCTCAAAAGAAAAAGAAACAGAAGTAACACAAAGTCGTTCGACCACACTTATATATATATACAACATTCATTAAAAAGTTACCGGTTTCTGCACTACGGCCATCATCAGACACCAAACAATATGGGACTCCACATGTAAAACAAAAAATCATGTTAGGTACAAACAATTTTCGTCAACGATTTGGAAAAATCTCAGATTCAACAGGTTGGAAGAATATCAGATTCAACAAAAATAACATAACATTGAAATATAAAACAAACAATTCAATTGGACGTAGAAATTATAAGTTTTTAATTCCTTACCTATGTAATGAAATTCCAAATGATACCATGAAAACAAAATCACTACAATCCTATGTGATAAAAATAAAAAACTGGATATTAGACTCCTCTAAAAATGATTTTATTTCGAACCTCCCTTCCGAGCTCCCTTCACTATTCTATTTAGCATCGAATTTTTTTTCCAAAGAACAGTCTTTTTATATTCTTTCCTGTAGATTTTGAATATGTTACCAGAAAAACAATTGAATATATCTCAAAAAAAAAAGTTATCAGTATCAGTATCAGTATTCATCGATCTATCATAGTTGGGGTCTACCTGAAATGATTACAGAGATATAGGGTGTGAAAAATTGGGATTTTTTCAACTTCAGGAATTTTTTGTGTCAAAACTATTCATTATTGGCCAAAACGGTTTTCATGTTCCTATCTTCACTTTTGATTTACTACCTACTGACATTTAATTGGAACACATACAGGGTTATCAGAATTCTGAAGTTTGAACCATCCTGTATTCTTTTCAATTGAATGTCAGTAGATAATGAATCAAAAGTTGAGATAGATACGGACATGAACACCGTTTTGGCCAATAATGGATAGTTTCGACACAAAAAATTCCTAAAGTGGACAAAAAATCTCAAATTTTCACACCCTATATATCTCTGTAATCGTAGAGATTGGTCAACGTTGACTAATCGCTGGTAATCGTTTCAGCTCTCGTTTCAGCTGGACCCTAACTGTGATAGATCGATGTAATGAGCTCTTCAGGGAGAATCTAAAAATGCAATAAAATACAGGGTGTTCCATGCAAAAATTGATACATGTTGCCCATAACTTTTTTTTGAGATGTTCAATTGTTTTTCTATTAACATATTCAAAATCTACCAAAAAAAATATAAAAGACTGTTCTTTGGAAAAAAAATTTGGTGATAAATAAAATAGTTAAGGGGGGGTTGAAAATATACGTGTACTCTGTACATTTGTTTTTTATCCTTACTACAAGGTTCACTTCCTAAGGTTTATCCTAGTTTATTCAAAATATCTATCTGTATGTTCCAATGTATATTTTGTAAACAGTTTGGAATATTTATATTATTATCGATAATATAAGTAAGATATCGGAAATGGGGCAGCCTGTACAGTGTACATGCATGACTGATCCATAAAGTTTCTTATCATTCTGATTTCAGGGTTCCACACTAGTGATGACAGAATTCAAACGCAGCCCCAGCAAGGTCTGGTGGGCCAACGAATCAGCCGAATGGCGGGAAGTATCGGCCAGCCCTGGCAGCCAGGACTCGGGCTTCTCGGACACGGAAACCTCCCCCCACAACGCCAAACAGGAGCACCAAGAAACCCCCAAGAAACCCTCCCCCGCTCAGAGGATCCCCAAGGACATCTTCAAGGAAACCTCCACTGCTCAGAGGATCCCCAAAGACATCTTCAAGGACACCTCCACTGCTCAGAGGATCCCCAAGGACATCTTCAAGGAACTGTCATCGGAGAACACGCGACAGAACCTGACGGCGAATTTCAGGGAGAAATCCACGCCGGAAAAATCCAATTTGGCGCAGCGATTGGTCAAGAGCGAGGTGAAATTGTCGCCGAAGAGAGAGCGACAGCGGGACTTGAGAGAGTTGGCTAACAGCGAACCTATACGGTATAGTAATTTTTCTTGCGGAAAGTGATACTTTACCGCACGCGAATGCCGTAGACCGGAACGACGCGAAGCTGAGTTCGGGCGAACAGTCGAGTGCGGGAAAGACACTTTCCGCATGAGTAAGGAACTAGCTATTTGTGTATTTAGAGCACAAAGTGATAGATTGCCGCTCGACAAAGAAAGTTACCGCGCGATGCGGAGCGGAGCGTGGTAATCTTTGGAGAAATACACACAAGATTTTTTCTACTAACGCAGCTTTTGGAAATAACTGCCGTGAAAGTATGAGCGATTGAAATAGTTGAAAAAGTTCTTATCCATATTATCCCATATGTCCAAAGGAAACAAAAAAAGAAAAATTGAAATGACTGACAAACCAGAAAAAAATGTCGGGCCTACCGAGAATTGAAACTGGACCACCAGCGTGGCAACCTGAGCTTCAGACCTCTGAGCCATAGTACGATAAACTCTGCAATCAAATTGAACATTACTCATTGATGCAATAACATAAAGATACACTGTCTTTCTGATGACAACAAAGAGTTTAAATATAAAGTATAATTCATCGTTTTCAACAGATATGCTTCATCGGGAGCTTCTTGTAGAAATTTGTTGGTATATATATCTTCAGCGGTGAATGTTTTGGATTTTTCTCGCTTCATATCCGATAGATTGTTCCTTGAGAAATGCGATAAGTTTCAGATACTTATTGATTCCGATGTTATCTTTAACATTCATGTATGTATACGTACCATCGAATATATAGACCAATGAGTTGATGACTTCAAAGTCTTTGATTTTTTACCAAAAGCCAGTAAAACGTTTTCTGAATACATATTCACCATCTCGGAGTGGCACCAATTAATGAATGTATATTGTAATTCATATTTCTTCCTTGATTTCTCCGGTAAGAGATTCAAACTCTTGCGCTTTCTGCTATATCAGGAGGTGTGTTTGATGATTCACTGTCACTATTTTCCATCATGAAAGAATTGGGGGTTTTCAAGAATAAATAAGTATAGGGTACAGAAATGTGCGAGCGTTATTTCAATATTTCCGCTCACGAGCGCAAATGCTGTCAAAGAATGACATTTCTGGGAAAACGTCAACTTTGTGCTGGAATATGAAAGCGTCAAAGGCTACTTTGTTAAGCGTTTGTAGAAAAAATATTTTTTCTACTACTGCTATGAAAAGTAGTGCATTTCTCATAGCTAATTTAGTTTCAAAACCATGTATTGCTCATACTATGAGAAATATTTTTTCTCACGGCACTTTGCCAACACCACATACATTTCCATAGAGAATCAACAAAAATCAACCAAAACTCAATTGGCTGCTGTTCAGGTTTGAATAGTTGTCGCAACTGTCAGAAGAAGTTTTTTTAATTCTTTAGGGTAGTTCTCATTAGTGCTTTCGATAGAAATCGCAGTTTCCATATCAAATATTATTCCATCAATTCATAATAAATAATATGATGTATATACCGAGAGGGCTAAAAGAACTTACAGTCACAACTCCACCACATAAAAATTTTCAATAATGACCAACGGTCATGGACATAAGTAAGGACATGTTTCGAAGGATTAATCCTTCATCATCAGCAAATGTGTTAAAAAGAAAATCTGTAAGAAGAAACAATGCTTATGTTAGTTATAAGTATTGATTAAGGAATCTAAATGTACCTACCATTATTGGTGGAAAAAGTTCACTTAATACAAAACATGAAAAAAAAAGAGTAGTGCCTTGGATGGATCTGAAAAATGCCTTGCAGTTTTTATCGATCTTGCCACTCTTGCCAAGGTGTTTGATACCGTTGACCATGACAATTCATTAGATGAGTTATATACGTACGGCACTAGAGGACCCACACTGATATTGTTGAAGGATTATTCAACAAACAGGGTACAAAGAGTGAAAATAGAAAACCAACTGAGTGAACTAATGACGGTTAGAATGATGTTCCTCAAGGTACAATACTAGGACCAATCCTTTTCCTCATCTATATAAATAGTATTAGCAACATCATATCATATGCCGATGATATACGGCACTGATTTTCAAAGGTTCAACTTGGAATGAGGTAATTACTGAATCGGAGAGAGGTTTGAAACTTATTCAGGTATGGCTCACCTACAATCTCCTAAGTCTAAATAACGAAAACTGAATTTGTAACATTATCTTTACTATAAAATGAACAGCCTGAAATGCCCACTATTCCTATAAATCAAAACATCTGTGATAACTCTAACAATTGAAAATGTCCTGTCATAGAAAAGACCAAATCTGTAAAATATCTTGGGGTAGTTGTAATCCAGTATCTAAGATGGGATGTCCATACCACGTACGTAGCAAAACAAATCAGACAGTTGATCAGAAAAATGTATCTACTTCGAGATATTTTGGATAAGAACCCAGCGAGCACAAAAACATCTCAGAGATGTTAAGAGTACGAGATTTCGAGACATTGAACCTCCGCTGCGATGTCCAGTTCACACATGAATAGAACTATTATAGAACAGCCAATGTCCGCCGCAGGCGGCAATTATCGAGATGTCCTATAGATATGTCACAAAACTACCTTCTCCCTAGTTCTTTTTAAAGCCTTTTCATGGACACAACAAAACATTTTCAACGCGTCTTGCGCACTTTAAATCGCTGTAAAAAAACATTTTCGAGGTACTTTTCTGAAGCCTTTTGTCAAAATGAACTTTTGCATTAGGATTCCATTTCCCTTGAATAAAAAAAATGCATTAAAAATAGATTGAACATAGAAATATTTTCTTGATATGAAATTATCTTCTTAATCGGTTTCTGAGTAGTGCTCACTACACACAGACATATAATTGGAAATAGGTTTCCCAATTTTTGAAATGTTCTCCAGAATGCATAATTTTGCAACTGCGGAGAGGCATGTGTATTGATAAATTCCTCGATAAATTCGTACTTTTATATATTGATTACACTGAGGCACCGAACAACACATCTTGCATCTGATGGTCATTATTACAAACTAAATAAGTCTTCTAACACAATAAACTTCATCAAATTCCTTTATGTTCGTTAGCAGCGTGATGTAAGCGTGACACGCTGCAAACGCGAATGCCAATTGCGAACAAGAAGAACAAAATCGAAAACAAATCAGAATTCATCGTATTGTGACGTAAGCATGAGACGTTGTGGTGGGGCAAACAAATAAAGGGCACAAAAGAACAAAAACAATACTTTCAATATCCTTCTAAGACCTCTTTGGGAGGTGTATATTACGCCTCAAAAAAACATCCTCATGCCTACATTTCTAAAACATCCCAAAACATCCCAGGGATACCTCTCAGTAGACAAACAAAGAAATGCCACAGAAGAACAAAAAAAATACTTCAATATCCTTCAAAGACCTCTTTGGTCAGTGCATATTACGTCTCAAAATAACATCTTCATGCCAACATTTTCAAAACATCCCAAAACATCCCAGGGATGTTTGTGCTCGCTGGGATATTATGATTCTTTCATCATAATTGGAAAATTCAAGTGAACTATAAAGAAGTTGAAATAAATGGTGGCTTGAAAAACTAAAGAAACACGTTTTTATAGATAGCGAAACTAAAAAGAAGTGGAAAATAAAATAAATATAGTGTCTTGATGAATATTGAACCGAAAAAATATATTATAGAAATTATGTATAAATAGCAAAACGTTTCCGAGGTCTGCTAGTAGGTAAATTATGTATTTCCTCATACCAGAGCCTGTTCAATTCAATTCAATTTTGACTGGAAGTTATTTATTCAATAAATAAATAGATAAATGAATGAATAAATCAAGTATTATGTTTTTCCTGTGTAGGAGGAATAGATACACTAAAAATTCACCGAAAGTCAGCAGAGGTTTATTCAAACTCGAAGAATGCGATGCTCATCAGTATTCCGACGCAGTACAATCATCGGTGGACAACAACTCTCTCGAAGCCACACTAGCCGACAGTTACTCCTGGAGGTCCACCCAACAAACCGCCTCCGTCGAGAGCCTCTCGACCCGCTCTCTGCCCGCTTTAGCCCCCCGCAGGGCCCCCCGAGGGGCTAACAGGACCGCGCCCGGGGCCCTCCAGAGGCACCGGGTCCAGGAGGCTGCGTCGCTCGATTGTTCTTTGTCGAGTGATTGCGAGAGCGAGTTGGAAGGGCTGTTTGATGGGGCTCTCGAGTCGCCCCAGCATACCTCCACCCCCAAGGGAGGGGTGAGGCAGCGGGAAGAAGGGGGGCTGATGAAGTTGCGGCTCAAGTATCGGCACGAGAGGTGAGTGTTTTTTTTTTCAAAAGAATAAACTGGTCAACATTGATAAGGTCGGGGTCCAATATATAGCCTGAATTCAATGTAGAATAACTCACGAATTTCCTTACGCAATTTGAAATCGGTTTTCACCGATGATTAGCCAAATCTCTTGACAGTTTGTTGTGGCAATATGAAACTTCTGTAGATTCAGATAACATTACTACAGGGTGATAATTGAATGGGTGTGAAATTGCATCGTGGTCGTCACCTTACCGTTTGAACAGATATTCTTCTTCATTTTCTTTCTCACCTGTATCCTCTTGATTGATGCTTTCTCTCGAAACAATTTCGGAATTTTCTAATTCTGAGCTTTGATAATCGTGTTATGAATATCCATTCAAAATGATGCATTTTTTCGACGATTAATTGAATGTAATTGGAATTTGGAATTCTTTTCCGAAAAATCAACGTTGTATGTATAAGTCGTCGGATATGTGATTGTATTCGAACACAGAAAATTCTGAAGAAGTCTATACAAAGTGATACAAGAAATACTGAATGATGGAATGGAGAATCACGTAGTCTTCAGTAGTTGAAACATAATTTTCTCTGTGTTACTAGTGAAATAATGGGGTGTTACTTTGTCATGAGGATGTCTGGTGTCTGACCTCGAAATGGTTTTGTAATTTCTCGGATCTAAGGTCATTTAATGAATAAGGTACGCATTTTTAATCAGAATGAAGAATGCTTTTTGGTTAAGATAAATTATAAAATTCAAAAAATTACGATGAAATTTATATTTATTCGTGACGATGGGTACACAAGGTGCGATGAAAAATTTGTCCAGATTGTCCCGGAATGAAGAAGATATTTTTAAACGCAATGAAAATCGCTATGTTCCGAAAAGGAAATATAGTGTCGGTCATTGTCGAAAATTGTGATTGGTAAGGAAATTCGTGAGTTCTACTTTGAATTTAGGCAATATCTCGGAGTCCGGAGATTCATAGTTTTCAAGATACAGAGTGTGTTAGACTTTTCAGAAAAAATCGTTTTTTTATGAATATCCAAATTTGGAAATAATATATATTCTTTGTCATGGGGGCAGATTTAATCATAATAAAATTGGAATTGTGAAATCCAGTGGCGTCTCGGGGGCAATCTACCGAATATTATTGTCAATATCATGTGCGCCACTGATTTTTTAAATTACTATATCTTCATATCTCAAAAAATGAATACCAATTCATTGTATAAATTTGTGCGAAAGATTGCTTCAAAAACATGTTTGACACACTTTGTGTTATCGAAAACTACGCCTTTTTGGACCGAGAATACATAGTTCTCAATATACACAGTGTTGAGTGTGTCAAACATGTATTAAGAAATATTTGAATAAAATAAATCTTCATACTTACTCTATGTCTATGGACATTGATCACTCATTTATTTTCACCCTAGTTTTTGAAGGAATCTTTTGGCGCAAATTTATGCCATAAATTGGTATTTATTTTTTTCCATGGAAATGGAGCAAATTATCAAAAGAATACAGGAGACCAAAATTTTGTATTTTTAGTTTTTTTTAGTTTATGAAGATACAGAATTCTAAAAAATCAGTGGCGCACATTTTATTGACAATAATATTTGGTAGGTTGCCCCCGGGACGCCACTGGAATTCATAATTCCAATTGAATTATAGCTATATTAGCCCCTTATGATGAAAAATATCATTGCCAAATCTCAAGAGAATCGGTGGATGATCATTTGAGATATTCATCATAAAAAATCAAATTTTTAAAAATTTCAACACACTGTATGTTGAAAACTAAGCATTTCTGCACCCACGTACATATGAGATGAATTTCTTATTTTTTCTTGTAGAATCACTCCCTCGATTTTTTGCGCATAATTTCCGGACACCCTGTATATTTCCAACTCGTACTAACGATCAGATGATTTAACCATAGTTGATTAATCATGCACACGGCTCTGATAGATACAACGCATATTTTTGTGTTAATGCAGAATGCAAAACGTGATAAAGAATTCATAATTATTTTCATAATAACGAGGAGATGTAATTTTTAATATTGATGAGTCAATAAACGTTTGAAACAATGCATATTTATTACATGTGGTTGTGGTATTATAGGTAGGTAACACAAATTATCCAAACATCAAACATGACGTGTTCATAATAATAATTGAATCGGTTATTATTAGAAGGAATCAAGGGATATTTATATAGTTTTGAGAAAACTTGAAATAACCATGTATTTCCATCAATAATAATTTTTCAAATTGATAAAAACTGGATGTTAGAATCTAGGTTTTAAAAAATCGTTTGTTAATGGTGGAGGGCAATATGGATGTTCTTCAAAACAATTGAACATGGTTCCTTTTAGTAATACACTGAAAAATTCAGTTTCCAGACAGGGTCAGTTTTGAGTTTGAATTTTTGGAAATATTCGACTTGCCAAAAAGAAAATGATTTTTCACCTGTCCATTACTGCTTTATAATACCTTGGCAACGGTACCGATAATGCCCAGGGCGTTATGGAGGGCATTATGAATAATTAAAACGCCCACTAATTGTTTTTTCTGTAGTTCATACAATTTCATACCAATTCTTGAAAGTACGCCAATAACACGGTCCCATCTATGGCAATAATTTAATTTTTCTACTCACATAACTAAAATGGCATTTGATGCGAATGATTTATTCGAAATATTAAACACGTTACCATGGCAACACGATTTCTTAAACACATTACCATGGCAACGCAGTTCATTAAACACAGCTTCGGTAATTTGAGACATGTCTGGCCTGTCCATTGTATTAACTGTCAACTGTTATTTTCCAATTTTGTATCAGAATTATTCAAACAATATTCGTTTGTATCAGAACTCTTCATCAAAAATATATGCGAAAAGTAAACGAAAGTGAAATCGAAGAGAATGTTCTAGTACTTGCATATCTCCAAGAAGTGTAAAAATGAAGCATCCATCTTTGAGAACAATTTATTTATTCTGCGCTAAGCATGACAATAAACGTGAAACAATGGAGGATATTATATAAATGTTTTACTTCACTAGTGTGGGAAAAAGTATATTGCGTAGAAAAGAGAATAAACAATTATCTTTTTCTACTACTGCTATGAAAAGTAGCGCATTTCTCATAGCTTACTCAGTTTCAAAACCATGTATTGCCCATACTGTGAGAAATATTTTTTTTCTGTGACGGGAAAAAAGTTTGGCATTTCATCTCTGTTGGCAGGTTATAAATTGTCACTTTTCATAAATTACTTTTTTCCCGTGGGAAAACAAGTGAGTACTTTTTTACCGGATATATATCACATATATATACATACTGTTGATGGCTTTTGTTGTGCTATAGTTCCGAAGAATGAGTCAATAATACCGTTTCCGAGAAAGAACTGCAAGTACTTTTATCTTCTATTCGACTTCGCGGTTACGTATATTACTAAACAACCTCTAAATTCGCAATTTTTTAAAATTAAATCACGTCGATGATTTTCAGATTTTCACAATAATGTAATATCTTCGCTACGCGTATTGAGATGTATATATCGAGATGTGACGATTTTGATAAATACACCGCCAGAGACAGAGATAATGGAAAAAGCTGCGAAAGTTGGATTTGTTTCCGGCAAGAAAAAAGTATGAATTGGCATATTGGTACGGAAAATTTATGGAATCTAAAGAAATACGGAAATAAAATCTTTTTCGAAAAGTGTACTTTTTTGAAATACTTTGAGGAACTAGGAAAGGCGTCTACTCTTTGGTCACAATATTCAATGTGGCATAGTGCCACATTATAAAATGAATCACATTACTCGGATTCATTGAATAAGCTAGTGCAATTGTAGAAAAAGTATAGTGTGCAACATGTGGAGAAAAGCACTTTTCCCACTTGTTGCACAATATACTATTCTATACTCTCAAAACTGTATCCAAATCCAATAACCACCTCCCTTCAACCGCTTCCCAACTGTTCGAACAAAAAACTCGGAAATCATCCCCCATTCTCACATCTCTCACGATTCCCCCTCGTGTGTTTTCAGGGTACCCCCGATTCCCACACCCTTCGACGTCTTCTCCGACCTGCCAGACAAAGCCGCAGCATCTTTGTGGGCCAGAGAAACCCGCCAAAGTTTCGAGCCCGAGTGTATGACCACTCTCCAGGGCAAATCGATAGCCGGCGAGCTGAACCAGAAGGTTTCCCAGAGGGCGAGCCAGGTCACAGGGGTGCTGAGAGGGGTGTTAACGCTGTCCAGGTGCATCGAGACAGAATACAGGAATTTAAACAACGGGTAAGGTGAATTAACAGCAATGATTACCCTCTGGAACGCCACTGAAACTGGTATATTAGCCAGTGCTATCTCAAAAAACACTATTTGAAATAGGTAGGTACGTTGAAATATAGCGTCTAGCCAGTCCTATTAAAGAGTTGAAGTGTTTTAATGAACGTTAACGTTAACGTAGAAATTGACAGCTAAGCTAATTCTTCACGTTTGCGTTGGTAGTGGGCTTACGGGGGTACGTTATCTCACGTACTATCACGTATACCTTCAATATCAACGTACGTTAACCAAACTATTTGGTTTGGGCTCCCCAAGGAGTTCTGCATCAAGGAGTCCTCTCATTTTAACAGGAATGAATGTTCGAATTTCAACAAACAACCAAAAATGACCAACACAAACCGAAAACAAAATGTATTATTACGATATGATGACAGTGACGACTTCAGCTCAATTTAACGTCAATACGTGAACGTTATTTTTCGAACGTTAACGTTTACGTGGATGTCTAAACGTACAGTGATTATTTCAACTCTCTATTGAATGAATGCATAGTTGGACATCGTGGCCATTTCATGGAATGATCGAACATTGTTGGAACATGGCGTTTCGACGACACGCCTAGCCAGTTTTGACGTCATTGTGTGCATTAGGACTGAAATACTGAAAGAATGCATAGTTTGTATAACGTGATATATGCTGTGAAATTCCAAAATACATTGTTTGGAATCAATACAATCTCATCGTACGTTCGAATATATAGCGTTTTGACGACAACGTCTATCCATTTCTAGCGTCATTATCTCTCTTTTGCTGTCAATTCAATGTAATTGATAACCCTCCGGGACGCCACTGAAATTGTCAAGAACGCGTGAATTCTTTATGAATGTGTGAAATATCATAGCAACTTCGAATTAATGCAGTCATTCATTACCAGTGATATCTCAAAAACACTATTTGAAATCCCTAGCATTCCATGGTACGTTCAAATATTGCGTCTAGTCAGTCCTGACGTCATTAGCCTTCCCTTATTGTGTTCCCAGTTGTTTTATTCCAATCAAATATCGAGTAATACAAATCAAATGTGCATTTTGAATGAATGCATAGTTTGATTAACGTGATATGCTGTGTGATTCCAAAAACATTGTTCGAATCCCTACCATTTCATGGAACGTTCAAATATAGAGTTTTGACGTGGTTTCGACGGCATGTCTAGCTAGTTCTGACGTCATTAGCTATCTCTTATTGTGTTGTCAATGGTGTACATAACTGAATTACTTATATTGATAGCATTGAATGGATGCATGCATAGTTTTGTAACGTAATATGTTACGAGCCCGAGAAAATGACCACCCTTCAGAGCAAATCGATAGCCGTCGAGGGTTTCCCAGGGGTGCTGAGGGGATGTTCACGCTTTCCAGGTGCATCGAGACCGAATACAGGAATTTGACTATAACGGTTGAGGTGAATGGCAATGACGAGCCACCCTCTTCGAGGCGCCACTGGAATAGGTTCGCTGTTTGACATAGATAAGCAAAAATTTATGTGATGGTCTAGGCTCATTTTTTCTTATAAGACGCCCTGCCCTGTATTTCATTGCATTTTCGGATTCTCCTTCGTGAGCTGATTCCATCAATGCATCACACTTGGGACCTAGCGAGAATGATTACAGAGATATAGGGTGTTCAAAATCTAGATTTTTCAACTTTAGGATTTTTTTGTCTACTCAAATGTGCATAACATTAAATTAATTCAAAAGTATTTTAACTTGAATTTCCTGTAAAATTCCGAAAAAAAACTGATCCCTACCATTTCATGGAACGTTCAAAGTGTTCAAAGTGTTTTGACGGCACGTCTATAGCTATTTCTGGCGTCTTTATAGCATTCTTTGTGTTGCCAGTTGTTTTATATTTCAAGGAAATATCAGGTAAACATTGAATTCAATTCAGATGTGCATATAAACTGGAATACAACAGTAGCTTGTAGCTTTGAATGAATACATATTTTTTTTACAAGATATGCTGCGATATATCAAAATACATGATTTCAGAACTCTATAATTTCATTGGACGTTCAAAAAATTCATATTGGCGGCATATTTGTACACCTCATGGCGAGCTTCTTGAAACTCCAATTCGTAAGCCTGCACGTAAGAGAAGACAATACTTTTCTATCCTGATCCTTTGTTGTTAACAATCTAATTGACTGTGCAGATTTGTTGGAAAAATTGAACTTTATTATCCCGAGATTATCTTCCAGGAATTGTGATACGTTCTACTTAGAGTTTCCTCGAACCAACATATATAAAGATTCACCCTTGTATAAGATGTGTAGTACATAAAACTTGGTATCTAGGAATATAGATCTGTTCAGCTGTGGAAAAACTCATGTCAAAACTTTTTATCTTTCTCCTCCTTCATCAGTGAATAACTAGATACTTAGTCAGGATATTTTCATTTTGTCATATTGTTTCGTCTATCCATTATGCATATGCAATGCATGTTTTTGTTTTGTCCTTTTTTTCCTGTTCTGTAAATGGGGCAACCTGTTGAACAGTGTAAGAAATAAATAAAATAAATAAATAAATAAATAAATTATTTCTGACGTCATTAGCCTCCTCATGTGTAGCCTATTGTTATATTTCAAGAATGCAACTTTATTATATCTGACTTGATTTCTATTTCGAATAGGTGAAGATTTAATCACATCAACAGCTACACTTCCGTATTTCAAGCGGAAATGTAAGCAATCTTGTAATGTGCAAGAACGAACGATATTAGGAAAGTGCGCATGCATGAATCAAAATATGCACCGACAGCCAGGCGTCACTGAAAGCTCTCACGAACCCGAAAGTGACATCCAGACTGGTACGGGAATGCAGAGATGAACTCAATGTCCTGTCAGAACATAACAAAATCACCTTGTTATGGGTTCCAGGACATGGCGGCATCGTAGAGGGAACGAAAAAGCTGATGAACTGTCAAGAACCGTCTCATCAACTTTATACATTGGCCCAGAACCCGTACTCGGGGTTACAAAAACAGCTACCCAAGGCTACATACGGGACTGGATCAAGTGAAAACATAAGAAGCGATGGGCTGAAGCCTCTCACATGCACCACGGGAAAGTATTCATTAAAGAACTGTCGAAAAATGCATCTGAAGAACTCGAGATGAGTAGAAACCAAGTCAGAACAAGAACGGAACTTCTCAATAGTCATACAGTCTAACGAGAGGACACCCGAAGAAAATGGGACTGTACAATGGAGAACTTATCTGCAGACAATGCGATGAAGGGGCAGAAACGGTCAAACATTTATTAATAGATTGCGAGGCATTGGATCGCAAAAGACAAGAAATATTCGGGTAGCCTCGGCTGACTCCCGAAGAATACAACAGCCAACTGGTGGAGAACTTGTACAGACCGGTACATAGAATGAGAGCTACGGAATGAGTGCTGTAAAATAAACTGGAATGCACAAAAAGCCTAGGAGGCTGAGGGGTAGCCGGTGACAGGACCAGCATCCAAGGAAAAAAATCACCAGCTACATAATTCAGTCTAACCCTCAATTTTACATTCACTACCTGCTCATAACGTAACGAGAAAAATCCTGAATAAATGTTAGTTCGTCATGGTTCGTCGATGGGATTGTCAAATCATAACCATAACCATTCGTGATTATGTTTCCGTTGGTTCACATAAATTTTCTCAAGAACAAATGTTGTGTTGATTGATTGATTGATGAATAGCAGAATGATCAGTTAGGGTTCGAAGCCCAAAACACTACAGCCTTTGGGCCTATTGTATTTCTGATCACGCTGTTGACTTAGGTGAACAGGTTCGCTACCTTGATAAGGTTTAGCAGCCTCTTCACCAAATCATTCTTTGGAAAGGCCTCTTGAGATTCTCCTCGCGCTAGTGCTTTGCACTCCAATATTACATGGGTGGCAGTTTCCTCCTCCTCATTGCATAGTCTGCATATGGGTTCGTCTGTATAGATGCCCATTTGATGCATATGTTTCCTCAAGGGGCAGTGACCGGTTATTAGTCCCGTCACTTGTCTGATCTGACTTCTGTTTAGGCTCAGAATGTCGTTAGTCATAGTTTTGGACAGTGTTCCAACCATCAGTTTACTGTGTCTTTGTCCTGGGACATTGTTCCAGTATGCCTGATGTCTTTCTTGCATCCACCTTGCCAGCCAGCCGCGTATTGAGGTTTTGGGGATACCGAACACAGGTTCCGGTCCCATAAACAACGCCGCAGACCCTTGCCTGGCAAGAGCGTCAGCTGCTTCATTGCCTTCAATTCCCTTATGCACTGGCAACCATTGAAGAGTTACCTTGTTGTGGTTAGCCAGGGTTAGCAGGCTTTGAAGGCAATTCCAGACCAGTTTTGATCTGATTTTATTGCATGTTGAAGATTGAAAAACCGCCTGACTATCTGAGCATTTGTTTACCTCTGTATCCTCTTACACTATTCTCTCTCAGACATGCCTCCATAGCATGCACCTTTGCCTGTTTTGTTAGTCAAGTTGTAAATTCAAACACAATTTCGTTCTGAAAACATCTGTTTTTTAAATTTCAGCGAATTCAAGCACATTAACCCCCTAGTACAAAGCCTGACAGGCAACATAGTCGACTTCCTCAGAACCCACGCCCCCCAAACTAGCCCTGAAACCCTCCAACTCTGCGAGGACATCCGAACAGCCAAAAGCGAAGACTCCCTGCATCTCATCAACCAACTATTCTTGCACTGGCAGAAAATCAGACAAGAACTCCTGAACAACCAAGCCAGAAACTTAGTGGAGAAGCTAGAGTATCCCACTTCTGAGCTAGATCTCCGCGCCTGCGTGACTGGCATCATCTCCCTATCGCTCAGAAACGAAGAACTGATCGAGATCTTCACTCAGGCTGACGTCATCCCTATCCTCCTGATCCTCTGCGAGAAGTGTGAGGGTTCCAGTTTGAAGGGACTGATTCTCAGGGCACTGGCAACAATGTGCTGCAATTCCTCAGCGGTGCGACAGTTCGAGAAGTACTCAGGGGTGCAGATCGTGGCTGATACTTTGGAGGAGCAGTCGAGACCTGAACCTGAGCGGTCGGAGGCTGTGGCGCTGCTGGCTCAGGTTACTGCGCCTTGGTTGGAGGACAACCATTCCGTCAAAGGTAGGTTGTTATGCAATTATGAATGATCACAGTGAAAAAGTATCGAAAGAAATGATAATAGAGTACATGATTCAACAAGCATATATTGAGCTATTATTCATAGAATCCTATACTTCATTCAAAACTGTTAATAATATACAGGCTGATTCACGGTGGATGGCACATTGGACGTTTCTAGAGAACGCAACGTAGGATTATACTGAAAATTTGGTTTCTTGGATAATTAGTTGTGTTCTATCCACCCAAAATATTCTCAACACTGTTATTTTGAGATATCTTAAGGATATGTAAGTTTTGTTCACTATTTGTAATTTCAATTATACAAAAGTCGATAATCATTCATGTCATTCCTACTAGAAAATTAAATATACATTATACAGGGTGATTCACATAAGAACCGACATAGAGCAGGAGCATGTAGGGAGTCCCAAAATATGGCAATTTAACGCAACTTACCTCTATACCAAGTTGCTTCCCTAAGGAGATATAGGCTTTGAAAGTGAAGTTATAAATTTTGAAAAAAAAACAATATCTTCGTTATTCTTGAACTTAAAGCAACCAAATTCGGTACACTTTGTGGATGTATTTAGGGCGTTACTTGACAGTAACAAGAGTTCAATTGAAATTTGTAAAGGGGGTATACCGGGTGGCGCACCATCAATATTCAACATAATTTTGTTAACCCTTGATGGATTTCAAAAATCTTTGCTTTGTTTTGTGGGCAATTCAATTCTTGAACTTTTCTTACTCCAGTAATTTTTCGAAAAACCTCATCATTTTCATCAAAAACTCGAATAACTGAAAACGCGCGCTCTAGGTGTGTTTAAAATCATCGAAAATTCAAAAGTTGGCTTTGAAAATAAACGTCAAACTTGACAATGAGGCAAGTGAGTTAATCAATTAAGTAATTGTTGTTTGAGTGTTTTTAAAATGAACGGGAAGTTTTCTTTTAACGAGCAAGTTGACATGCTGTTAGTGCTATGCCTATAACTCCTTAGGGAAGTAACTTGGTATAGAGGTAAGTTGCGTTAAATTGCCATATTTTGGGACCCCCTATATGCCCCTGCCCTATGTCGGTTGTTATGTGAATCACCCTGTATATTATTTGTATAAAATGTATCAATGTAAATATTGTAATGCAATAACTGATATAAAATAAATGTTCGTCTATGAAAAACTAACCATTTGGTGGTTATTCACACCGGTCTGAATTTGATAAGAATCGCACGACCAATAGCTGAGATAGAGAGCACGGGTCGTTTGCAGTGAGACAAGCTGTATAATAATAAATAACTATTAGGTTAAGGTAGTCATCATCCTAGAAAAGCACTATCTGAATTTATTTGTAGTAAACTTAATGAGATATTTTCCTTTTAGGTCTACAAGACTATTCCCGAAAACTGGTTCGTTCTCTGACAAAGTTCGTTGCCAGCACACAGTGTTGCCAAAATTTGTTGCTGTGTGCTGCTGCTTTGGCCAATTTGAGCACCATGGACGGTAAAGCGATCAAGTTTATGGTGCACAGCAACACCACCAGAGTCCTTCTTGATGCTGTCAAAGCTCGAGGACCAAGAGCTTCGATTTATCTGCTAGAACAAGTAGCCACATTGATTGCCAACATGTCAGCATCAGAAGTGGCTAGGAAACAGTTGACCGAAGTTGAAGTAAGTCATCGACAACATTTACTAGCTCAATGGGCCTGTTTCAGTGGAAAGTTTCATTTCATTATCTCGAAGTACTAACCCTAACCCTGTACATTCTTTAAATAATTATTCAAATTCACGATGTTTTGTAAAATGAAAAATGCAGGAAAACGCATGACGTAATAATCCGAAAAAATTCGACATACCTATCTTAGTCCAATAAATGAAGGAGGAAAAAAAAAGGCAAAGTTAACGTTAATTACGCACTATTCTCATCTTCCGGTTGGAAGTAGCTTTTGGTACCTCATTAAACATGAGACAAAGTTTGACTGGAAAACGCGTGCGATGGCGGAGAAAATGGCCCCAAAAGACCAGGAAAATAGGTTTTCAGCCAATATCTCCTAAAATATGGCAGTTAGAGATTTTCGGTTCAGATAAAAATTGAACATCAGTTAATTTTCTACAAAAATGGTCCTTATCATTTTTCTCGAAAATTTGCCCGGTTTCGAGAAAAACGGCACGAAGCGCACCTCGAATAATGAGCTTCTGTGTTGTATGTCGGAGAGCACAGTCCGTGTATTTACACATCGGCGGGGGGACAAATTATTCAATAACTTTGTTAAAAATGCATATTTTCTCATGATTCAAAGTTCATGTGAAAGAGGAATTCTGCTGCTATCATACCCTGCGTGGCCGCATGGTTTGTAGCAGACGACCCGAGCGCCACGTAGAGCACACACGCGGCGAACCACGGAGGAACGAAAGTAATAAATTATAGCGTGTACATTTAGATATACTGGTTTTTTCCCGGGATATGAAAAGAGTTCGCCTCCTCAGAAGGTGCTCGCCCTAGACTCTAGTAGATTTTCTGGAGTACTTACTGCAGGTAACAGAGAACACAACGCACAACTGAAGAATTAGATAATGAGACAAATATCTTTAAATATTCGCATCTTGATTAGATGAAACAAGGATTTGAAGATGGAGGTGATATAAGGAAGTTAGGTTGACCATGTAGTTCGTCTTTTTATCTTCTTGTATTTCTGGGAACTTTAGGCATTACGCTGTTGCCAGTGCGACAAAATAACTTGGTTTCAAATAAAATCTCGATAATCATTAGGAATACTAGGATGTTTTTATTGGTACTGAAGCATCTTGCAAGTATACAGTGTGTCCCACTTACCATGCTCACCATGGGTATCTTTTTAACGGTAAGAGATACGAAGTCGGTTAAATGACACCAAATGTGGAGTTTTTCAAGGCCAACTATAATGTGAAAAAATATTTTGATAAAATCTATTCGTTTTTGTTTTATACGCAAAAAACAGATTTTGATCATTTTCTTGTCTCCTCCGTAACTTCTTTATTTATGAAAATATTCAAATAGGAATTTCACAATCTCATGGCAGTTTTTCAGAGTGATTTCGAAAAAAAATATGAAATTTATACCAACTCTTCTAGAATTCGAGATATCAGCACCAACTTCAGTTTTTCAAATTTAGGTCATAGCTCACTATGACTTAGTTACAAATAACTTTTTTTTCTCTCACAGATGATATGTCACAGTAATAGTTTTGTGTTGATAACAACGGAGTTATCGTCATTTATACAAAAACAAAAAATTATTTGGATGCCGCCATCTTGAATTTATAAATTTTAACAAAAACATCATGATCTCCGACCTCGAAAACCCCCACTTACCAATTTTGAATGGAATCGGACCAAATCTTGTCCGCCATCTTGGAGCAGCCATTTTTTTAAATTTCAACAAAAATTCCATAATTCCGATTAACTTGAAATTTGGCAGGTGTTCATAATTTCGGTGACAATACATAATGGAATTTTTGTTGAAATTAAAAAAAATGGCTGCTTCAAGATGGCGGACAAGATTTGGTCCGATTCCATTCAAAATTGGTAAGTGGGGGTTCTTGAGGTCGGAGATCATGATATTTTTGTTAAAATTTATAAATTCAAGATGGCGGCTTCCAAATAATTTTTTGTTTTTGTATAAATGACGATAACTCCGTTGTTATCAACACAAAACTATAACAGCGACATGTCATCTGTAAGAGAAAAAAAAGTTATTTGTAACTAAGTCATAGTGAGCTATGAGCTACATTTGAAAAACTAAAGTTGGTGCTGCTATCTCAAATTCTAGGAGAGTTGGTATAAATTCCATATTTTTTTCGAAATCACTTTGAAAAACTGCCATGAGAATGTGAAATTCCTATTTGAATATTTTCATAAATAAAGAAGTTACGGAGGAGACATGAAAATGATCAAAATCTGATTTTTGCGTATAAAACAAAAACGAATAGATTTTATCAAAATATTTTTTCACATTATAGTTGGCCTTGACAAACTCCACTTTTGGTGTCATTTAACCGACTTCGTATCTCTCACCATTAAAAAGATACCCATGGTGAGCATGGTAAGTGGGACACACTGTATAAATATTCAATAAGTAATTATTAGGGACCAAGTCGAACTATTGTCTTCTGTGTATGTGAATACTATTATTGTCATTGGTCATATTGAATCTCATAGTAACAAATCTGGCAGCGTCTAAATATGTGATCCCACCTTTTATGCGAAAGCCAGAATTCAGATAACGATGACTTTCGGTTCGGTTCATGATGACGTCATCGAAGTTGGCTTTTTCGTGGGTGCCGAATATCATTATTCGAAAAAATATGATTTTAAATAACGAATGATTGCATCAAATACTATTTATACACGGAATGATGAATGTGAAAAAGAATTATTGTTGCGTGAATTCGACTAGTGTGGCAGCTTTTTTTAAATTGATTAGCTCGCTCATCGAAGACAGATGACCTTGAAGGGGACCAACAATTGCAGAATGAACCTTAAAATTCGCTGAATAAGTCCGTTGATCTAGGGAAAAATCTAATCTGCTTTACATGGGCTCTTATGGGGCTTTCCGCTGCGCATCGCGGAATTTCCGTAGAATCTGGGGAAAAAGGACTGGTTCTCTCATAGCTGATCTACTCACAACCCTATCCAACGAAAATATATCTGCAGATTCATACACAAGGTGTTTTTGAAATAAGTGCACATGTTCAGCACAATAATATGATACAGTCTAAGGAATATATCCCTGATATCAGATTTTTTCTAATTCTTTCATTTAACGAGAAATTTCATACCAAAAATTGAACAAAATACGAGAAAAAAATCAAGTACGTCACTTTAAAACAATTTAAATGATTGAACAGAGGTGACGTCAGATTTGTTACAGTGTAGAACTTTGGGTGGAAAAAGGGGTCTAACCTCAAATTTCATTTTGATCCCTAATTTTTTCTAATTAGTGCCATTCGATAGTACACGTCGAGCTTTCTCAGTGTTTGAAATATTTGCACTTATTTCAATGCCACCCTGTAAATTCAACGGAAAGATGAAAGGCCCAAGAACTGACCCTAGTGGAACTCCCTCACACCTTAATGTACTGTTTCTACTTTTCAGGCGCCTATCGTGCTTCTTCACTTTTTGAAAATGAATAATTCTGGTGAAGATGTGGAGAGAAGGCTTCAGCAGAAAAGCATTATCGCTTTGTCCAGGCTTTGTGGAGATAGAACAGCTGCCACTCAAATAGTCGAATTGGGAGGAGTAGAAAAACTAGTCAAAATGTGCAGAGAGAAAACCCAGAGATTTGACAGTGATGCTGTTCTGGTAGCAGCTCTGGTAAGTTGTCCAAAGTTGATACTGAATATATGTGTAATCGGAAAATGTAATTGGCCCTGAAACTGACCCTTGTGGTAAACCAGAAACCACATGTTTTATTCGTCAAAACACTCTTGTTAAGGTAAAGAACCATCAGACTTATATAGTCTGATGGTGCTCACCTCATATGATACGGTCCCTGATAACCAAACCATAATTTTTTTCGGGAATTTCTGCATTTCACTATGTATATTGATTGAGGCTGCAAAATGAAATTATTTTGAGAGTCTACAGGGTGGCTCAAAAAAGAGTGTGACATATCACAGTTGTTTTTTAAAATGGAACACCATTTATTTTATAAGCGATATTTCCTCATGGAATATTCAAGTAAGTTATGGAAAGTACATCGAATGTTTATTTATATTCAAGTTTCCGTGCATTTTATCAAACATTTTGTGGTCATTTTGATATTTCTCGAGTTTGAATTCTTTAGTAGAGTATTAAATCATTATTCAACTTTAGGATTTTTTGTCAAAACTATTCATCATTGATCAAAACGGCTTACAAATCAACTTTTGATCAACTATCTTAGGATATTTAATTGAAACAATTATAGTGTGGTTCAAGATATAGAATTCTGATCACATTGTGAGCCGTTTTGACCAGCAAAGTTGAAAAATCTCGATTTTGAACAAACTATATCTATGAAATCATTACCACTTGACTCCAAGTGAGATAGATCGATGGAATTAGGTCTCCAGGGAGAATCAAAAATGCAAAATACAGGGTGTTCCATTTAAAACAAAAAAACACTTTGATATATCACAAATTTCTTGAGCCACCCTGTAATAAATTGTGACTCAATTCACAGGGTATGATAGCAGCAGAATTCCTCTTTCACATGAATTTTGAATCATGAGAAAATATGCATTTTTAACAAAGTTATTGAATAATTTGTCCCCCCGCCGATGTGTAAATACACGGACTGTGCTCTCCGGCATACAACAGAAGCTCATTATTCGAGGTGCGCTTCGTGCCGTTTTTCTCGAAACCGGGCAAATTTTCGAGAAAAATGATAAGGACCATTTTTGTAGAAAATTAACTAAACTTCAATTTTTATCTGAACCGAAAATCTCTAACTGCCATATTTTAGGAGATATTGGCTGAAAACCTATTTTCCTGGTCTTTTGGGGCCATTTTCTCCGCCATCGCACGCGTTTTCCAGTCAAACTTTGTCTCATGTTTAATGAGGTACCAAAAGCTACTTCCAACCGGAAGATGAAAATAGTGCGTAATTAACGTTTTGCCTTTTTTTCCTTCTTCATTTATTGGACTAAAGAATCGCCTCCCGAAATATTGACATCCAATTCTGAAACACCCTGTATAGTGATCCCGATGACTGAAGATTTCTGTTTATTCCAGGCGACTCTCAGAAAGATTATCGACACGTGTGGAAGTGACGTCATCAGTGCTTTGGACGCACAGGAGCTAGTGGAACCAAAGTTACTAGATTCATTTTTAGCATACTCTACTCAAAACGAGAGCTACGTTTGAGATAAGTGTCAAGTGGATAATGTGTACATTAGTGGTGATTCACTCTGGAAATGAAATGCATAATTGAGATTGAATTTCTACTTGAACTAATTTTGTCGAGTGGAATTTAATTATTGTGAATATATTCATGCATTTGATAGACTTGAAAATTAAGTAGAATGGGTGAATAGAAACAGTTTTTGACTTTTCAGACTGTGTTGCTGAGATGATATTCACAGTATTGAGGAAGAAATGTATGGAACATGTATGTGACGGTTATTAGAAGAGAGGGCATGTAACAGAGTTTTGAAAAATTTCGTAGTTTTTTTTTAACAAATTGAATTGTGGTGATATACTCGGTGGTGATTTTCTATTCCCCCTCCAAGCGGGGGAATAGGAATAATGATTGTTTTAGTACGTTATTCGCTTGTGAACCATCTGAGAGTTGAATGGAAACAAGTTTATTGAATAATTAAATTTGTGGACAGCTAAAAACTTTAAAAAATCATGAATATAATATAAAAATGGGGTGAATAGAAACAGCAGGTCAATAGAAACAGCAAGCAAATACACACAAGAAAAGATAGCTGGTTGTTTAAGAAATATATATGATAAAAACCACTTGATATATTACAGTTTTGAACGCAATGTTGATTTTATTATTATTTATTCATTTATTGAATCAAGTAAAATATATATTTTGTCATCGAATATCAATTACATGTATACACAGGGTGTCTGTAAAAGGTTGGGGCATGGCTCGGCTGTGGACTCTTGGGATAAAAACAAGTTGATTCAGACCAACTTACCTATATCCAAAATCGTCTCGTTGAGTTGGTACAAGGCGTTGAAGTTTTTTTGGAAAGATTGCTCATAAAAAGAGTAGGCTGAGATCGATTTTCATAATTTTTGACATAGCATGTTCTGTGACAGTATGTCAAATTTTGAGATGTTTTTGATCATCATCAGTGACCTGCAAGTGTTTCAAACAACCATGTTGCCGTACAAATTTGGTGATAACTTTTCAGAGGTCGGACTGGAAACTTCCAATTATTTTTCCCAGAAAGATATTTCCTTCAGAAATATTTTGTGTATCGTGTTAATTTTTGATAATTCTCGAGGTTCATTTGCAAATAAATAATTTCTGATCTGAGGCATCTTATGCATTTTTTAAAAAAATAATCTGGTTGGGACATGGCTTGACAAAGCGTTAAAGTGCTCACCTCAGGTCCTGAATAGTTATCGCTAAATTTGTAACGCGAGAGTTCTTGTGAAGCCCGCGAGGACCAGCAACATATCAGTTTGTCAACAATAAGAATACATTGTAGCCATGATCAATAAACAGTCCGACTAATTAGATCAATTTTCGAAAATGCGCAGGATGCACCATATAAGAAATTATTTATTTGCAAATGAACCTCGAGACTTATTAAAAATTAACACAATACAAAAAATATTTCTGAAGGACATATCTTTCTGGAAAAAAAAATTGGAAATTTCCAGTCTCACCTTAGAAAAGTTATCACCAAGTTTGTACGGCAACATGGTTGTTTGAAACACTTGCAGGTCACTGATGATGATCGAAAACATCTCAAAACCTGACTTACAGTCACAGAACATGCCATGCCAGAAATTATGAAAATCGATCTCAGCCTACTCTTTTTATGAGCAAAATTATTTTTTTCTAAAAAAACTTCAACGCCTTGTACCAACTCAACGAGACGATTGGATATAGGTAAGTTGGCCTAAATCAACTTGTTTTTATCCCAGGAGTCCACAGCCGAGCCATATGTCCCAACCTTTTACAGACACCCTGTATATTTCATATTGTATCTCCAGCGAAGAGACAAATGTCTATTCGCTGGTATCTTCTTCACATAGATTATTGTCCTGCGTGTGAAAGAGATGAAGTATTTCACGTATGACATTGTTTTTCCATAAGTTAAATACTCAAACTGAAAAAAAAAATCAATTCATACAATTGTAAACTATGATTAACTCGTAGGCTTCGAATTAACAATTTATTATCGGGAATGACCAAACTGGGTATATTTAACAAGAATTCTATCAGAACTAGAACAACGCTTAATGACTCAACGTTACAACGTCAATGTGTCATAATGACAATCCTGTTTTCTTGTCGTATACTGGGAGATCCGAATGTGCTTCATACGGGGTGATTATACAATAATGCAAATAAATGAAAATAAAGAAAAATAGAGTTGATTAAAAAAGATCATCGATATTTTTCTCATTTTCTATAAGCCAACTTTTAACTTCTTTTTTGAAAGTTATTATATTTAGGTGTTTTCATTTTGATGGTATTTTATTATAAATTTCAGATCCAATAAACTTAAGATGTTTTTCTAAAATTGTAATAAGCTTATGTTTTTCAAGTCGTACGATATGTTGATTTTGTTTCTTGTATCATAACCATAATTTCCTGGATTATATCTTGATTTTTTTTCACCTTAGTAGGTACATAAAGTTTATTTAGCCAATACACAGGTGTCACGATTATATGTTCGACTAAAATAACGCAACATATGCAATTCGTAAACCAGATAGGATTTGAAGTTTCTAGAATTTAATTTGAAATGCTCTATACTTGTTTCTATTCCACCCATTTTACTTATCTAATATGACGAATATATGGGATTGATCCAAGTAATTATACAAACGTGTACTGGAAGGTCCGCCATATTTAATTTTTAATTTTTACTGTGAAAATGAAGATGTTCGAATTCTCAATTCATAACCAAAGACTCGAATTATTGTAGAACAATGATCAGAGACTCCTGATCTCCAAATCCTTGAAAAAATATAGGTACAAATCAATATTTTCCATAGCACTCGTTAAATTCGAATTCGAACGGCCATGTTGGAACATGTTGTCTCCAAAATGACATATATATTAGGAACGCTCCCTGTATATAAAACCAATGGAGGAATTCAGCAAATAAGATTTTGTCTTTGTCTTGAAGGGTTCCAACGTAAAATGATGGACATCTATGAATGTTGGTACAAAAAAAATTAGAAGAAATAATCGAAATGTCTTATTTTCCAATTTGTTCCATAATTTGTGTTACCAGGATGATATTTGAATTATTTTACATTGGAATCTTGAAAACAGAAAGGGAAAGACGTATTATTTTTTCTCTCTCGAGGCTAGCTGAACTTTTCATCCATTAATATTTTAGTTGTAATTCCTGATAGGCAGTTGTTATCTTTTTGTCGCCAACAAAATGATGACTAAGAGATTGAATTTTTCAGTTTCAATTGTTTTGTAGCAGATTCAGGAATTTCGTGAGCCGTTTTTGAATTTTACACACTCTATAAAATATTCCGGAAAGATAGTCAAAAGTGTCTAGGCTATTAAAATTATGAAATAATAATTCATGAGACTGTTTATTTCTATTTTATGTTCAAATTAGCCATATTATGTTTTAGCAAGTTTTGTTTATATTTAGCTGTTTTATCTGCAGATAGAATTTTATAATTTGTTATTTTGGTAATTTATTTCTCTGTGTATAATAACCGTTTTTGTAATTGTAGTTTCAAGGATTGAAATGAAAAGAAATGATTTTGTCAACCATTAGTCCATTAATGATAATAATTATTATTGGGAGTATTGTGACTAATCATATCTCCATAATAAATATATGCATATTTTCTGAATTTTGTCCTTACGATATTATCAATAGTTACCATATTGAAAATAAATGATTCATACTTGGTGTAAACCTGTTTCTTTTATTTTGATTTCTTTCTTATGAATTCCTCCAGCAAATCTAGAAAAATAAGCATAATCCACAACAAATTTGTACTCTCTGTATAAAAATATGTCTTCTGAATCTCAGGTAGAAATGCATAGCTCAAAGTGAAGTTACTGATATCGAGTTTGTACTTACAAAGATGTGAAAAAAATACGTCCTTCTAACAAAAAGGCACTGGTAGACAATTTCTTAATACAGGGTGGCATTGAAATAAGTGCAAATATTTCAAACACCGAGAAAGCTCGACGTGTAGTATCGAGTGGCACTGATAAAAAAATTTAGGGATAAAATAAAATTTGTGGTTAGACCCCTTTTTCCACACAAAGTTCTACACTGTAGCAAATCTGACGTCACCTCTGTTCAAATTTCCATGCGGTAGGCACAACCACGCAGACTTCAATCATTTTAATTGTTTCAAAGTGGCGTACTTGATTTTTGTTGAAATTCAAAAAAATGGCTGCTCCAAGATGGCGGACAAGATTTGGTCCGATTCCATTCAAAATTGGTAAGTGGGTGTTTTTGAGGTCGGAGATCATGATTTTTTTGGTAAAATTTATAAATTCGAGATGGCGGCTTCCGAATATTTTTTTGTTTTTGTGTAAATGACGATAACTCCGTTGTTATCAACACAAAACTATTACTGCGACATATCATCTGAAAGAGAAAATAAAGTTATTTGTAACTAAGTCATAGTGAGCTATGACCTACATTTGAAAAACTAAAGTTGGTGCTGATAACTCAAATTCTAGGAGAGTTGGTATGAATTTCATATTTTTTTCGAAATCACTTTAAGAAACTGCCATGATAATGTGAAATTCTTATTTGAATATTTTCATAAATAAAGATGTTACGGAGGAGACATGAAAATGATCAAAATCTGTTTTTTGCGTATAAAACAAAAACGAATAGATTTTATCAAAATATTTTTTCACATTATGGTTGGTCTTGACAAACTCCACATTTGGTGTCACTTAACCGACCTCGTACCTCTCACCGTTTAAAAGATACCAATGGTGAGCATGGTAAGTGGGACACACTGCATAGTATAATTACCTGATTATCCAATTTGAGTTATATTCTGAATATATAATATTAAATATCACCATTGGGCTGGACTGAAAAAGTTGGGAAATTCAAAGCAAATATATTTTCAAATACTCCTCGGTATGAAAAGAAATCCTGTTGAGGCATATTTAAATTTCCATAATGTATCATCAGCAGAGTTGTCATATGCCCAAAAATGTGAATAAATTCCTCCATCAACCATTTTTGTTTCTGACTTTGCATAGATAGGCTTCACATATATCACAAGTATGTTGCTGCAAACATTTTTCAAAAAAATACCCAGTAAGGCAGTATAATGAATCACAAAGGCATATAAATTAAAGAAGTATAAACCTGCCCTGCTAGCTGAGCTACTGCGCATACTAGCCACGAGTGGACATGTGCACTGCCATTTTTAGGACACGAAAAGTGTTTACTGAAACTACAGTTTTCCATGAGGGTCTATACTGTGTCAGCACTGTTCAAAAGAACGTTCGTCTCTGAAAAACTGACCCTATTGATGGTTATTCATAGCGATCTGAATTTGTTAAGAGTCGCACGACTAATAGTTGAGATATAGATTGGAGGCCGTTTAAAGTGAGACACGCTGTATATTATTTCGTGTTTATTTAGAATCGGGTAGGCCATAGTGTCGATATGGAACATTTTACTTCGCAGGAATATTGTAATCGATACAGTACACTCGCCTTCAGAGAACATGTCGTGGTTCGACGGTATGGGCGCTCTCATTGCAGCGGTGATTAAGAGAGCCGACACCGTCCATGTGCGACATGTTCTCTGAAGACGACTGTACATGACCATTCGCAGGAGTATTTTATTTGTGAAAGAACTAATTGTTATTATTTTTGATAGAAAAATCGAGAATTACATCAGCAATTAGAATGGGTTATGTTCCACAAAATAAAAATAATAATTTACACATCAATTATTGATTTAATTCTATATCAATACAGCATCTTATGAATAGAGTTGGAACTTCCAAATTATTCTGATCCCTAGAAAGAAAATCATTAGAAGTAACTTTTTGCGATAAATCAAACTTTTCAACTTACTGTAGGATCACAATCGGCACAATGCCAAGAATATCCTCTTTTTTTCGGAGTTTTCTTCAGAGGTGGGTCCAAACAAGAAAAGTGGTAGTTCTTCAGACACTCGTCACACCTGAAACCAATTACACAATAATAACTAAGCATAATTCAATCTTTCTTGGTTATTGAAATGAAAGGAGAATATTTCAAATAAACTTTTCTTGCCAATCATGCTCCAATATACTTGACATTCATTTTTATACCCAACATATCTTCATAGGTAAATTGAATTTACAATTGACTTTATAGTGCAAAATTGGATTTTCGAATTTTTCTCAGACGTGCTGCGTCGGCGACAGACGAGAAAAACAAACAGAAAAAAAAACTCGAACTCACTTAAGGTGGATTCATGCAGCAACATTAAACAATTATTATCAAGTAACATTTAACAATTAACAATTATCAATTGACAAGTGATGAGAATATTGACATTTATGGAAACCGAATTAACAATTAATGAATTAATAGTACGCAAGCGCAATCTGTATATTTCTTAATTTAGCTAAGGCATTTGATACAGTTAGTCATGAACTCCTATTAAAAAAAATGGAAAATATTGGATTTCGTGGGATTGGATACAAATTAATACAAAACTACCTTTCTGATAGAATTCAACATGCCGAAATCAACAAAATCCACAGCGATCCGAAATTGTTTGAGTATGGTGTTCCTCAAGGAAGTATTTTAGGTCCACTTTTTTTCAAAATTTATTTGAATGACTTACTACAACTAAATTCAGCTGGTACTATACATTCTTTCGCAGATGATACTGTTATCTTTTACTCTGCGAAAGATTGGTGTGAATCGAAAAACAAAGTAATTAATGATTTTCCTATTATTAAAGAATGGTTTGATCAGAATTTATTAACAATTAATTTTGAAAATACAAAATATATGACATTTACTTCCTATCAAAATTCTCAACCAAATTTAGGCACTATCAAGATAAATGGAGAAATTGAAATTCAGGAAAATAACTGTATCAAATACCTTGGTATAATGGTGGACAATAATCTGAAATGGGATCATCATATTGATTATGTCACTAAGACAATAAGATGCCTCATTCCTAAATTCAAACATTTGAAAAACTTATTAAATATTCGAAATTTAGAAATGATATACTATGCTTTAGTTCAATCTCAATTAGTTTATGGGATATTAGGATGGGGTGGAGTGAAGCAGATATATTTGAAAAAATTGGAAATTGCACAAAAATGGATTTTAAAAATTATTTATGGAAAAGAATATTTGTTTCCAACTGAACTTTTATATAAGGAATCTAAGAAAATGGATATAAATCAACTCTATATTTACAATTTACTGATTCATATTTTCAAAAATAAAAAGGCCAATCAGTTCAAAAAACGTATCTATGACATAAGAAATAAAAATAACATAACATTGAAATATAAAACAAACAAGTCATTTGGACGTAGAAATTTTAAATTTTTAATTCCTTACCTATATAATAAAATTCCAAATGATATTATAAAAACAAAATCACTACAATCCTATACAATAAAAATAAAAAACTGGATATTAAACTCCCCTGAAAATTATTTTATTTCTTTAATTAACATTTAATAATATCATTAGATAAATTTTAATAATAATTGTGAATAAGTATGTATGAATATAAATAATTATGTGTATTGAATGAAATGCTCAGTACACTATATATTATGAATTGAATACTTGTTTCATTTCTTAATGAGACAATTTTCCCTTGTGATAATTTGATATTGTTAAATATTTATTGACCTATGTACATTTATTTATTTTTTATCCTTACTACAAGGTTAACTTCGTAAGGTTTTTCCCAGTTTATTCAAATTACCTATATGTTTATTCCAATGTATATTTTGCAAACGTTTTTGAATAAACTTATATTATTATTAAAGCCATAAGCTTGAAAATTCGTTGTTAACAATTTACATAAGGAGCTGAAATTTCGAATTTCATGTTTTCTGATCTGGATTTGTTGAATGCAATTGTTTTATGTTAAAACAAGTTTCATAACATCTGTCAGTTCTGACATTGGTCTGACCAATACATGCCTTCTCTACCAGTCGATGGAACAAAACAAACCATTGCATGATAAATACAGTTTTACCCAACATCGAAATTTCAAATTCTCCTCAGACAAAGAAATAAAAAAATCGAACTCACTTGACCGACTCGGCGGGCACCCCGACCTCTCCGCACACGTCGCACGCCCCATCGCCGGCCGCCCCCCTCTTCTGCCCCCCCTTCTCCGCCTGCCTCGCCCCCATAACCCCCAAAGCCCCCATAACCCCCAAAACCCCCACTTCCACCCCCGCTCCCCGCGGGCTCTTGCTCTTGCGCGCCTCGCGCTTCTCGATGCGGGCGGGCTTGGGCGGCATGGGCGGGGGGGCGTTGTCGTCCGCCTCGTTGGGCACGTAGAAGCATTGCGGGTTGGATTCGGAGGCGACCTCGCCTGCTGGCAGCGGGATCGGTTTGATCTGGAACGGTCAAAATCGATCGATCGATCGATCGATTGAGTGATCGAATCGATAAATCGAATGAAGTGCCTTTGGAAAATCCGTTTTCAATTACTGGTTGTGTGCATCGAAAACAGACATTTCATTATGGTATAACTCGAATTTGACACTAACTTCGAGTTACAACTGGAAATTAACACTAATTTCGTGTTACAATTGTAAATCAGCACTAATTTTGTGTTGGAACCCGAATTTATAAATAAATTCGTTGGGCAAGTAGAAGCATTGATAGATCAATCGATAAATCTAATGAAGTGCCTTTGAGAAATCCGATTTGAATTACTAGTTGTGTGCATCGAAAACAGACGTTTCATCATGATATAACTCGAAGTTGACACCAATTTCGTGTTACAACTCGAAATTAACACTAATTTCGTGTTACAATTGTAAATCAGCACTAATTCCGTGTTGAAACCCGAATTAATAAAAAAATTCGTTGGGCAAGTAAGAAGCACTGATAGATCAATCGATAAATCTAATGTAGTGCCTTTGAGAAATTAAACAGACGTTTCATTATGATATAACTCGAAGTTGACACTAATTTCGTGTTACAACTCGAAATTAACACTAATTTCGTGTTACAATTGTAAATCAGCACTAATTTCGTGTTGAAACCCGAATTCATGAATAAATTCGTTGGGCAAGTAGAAGCACTGATAGATCAATCGATAAATCGAATGAAGTGCCTTTGAGAAATCCGATTTAAATTAGTGGTTGTGTGCATCGAAAACAGACGTTTCATTATGATATAACTCGAAGTTGACACTAATTTCGTGTTACAACTCGAAATTAACACTAATTTCGTGTTTCCAATGTAAATCAGCACTAATTTCGTGTTGAAACCCTAATTTATAAATAAATTCGTTGGGCAAGTAGAAGCATTGATAGATCAATCGATAAATCGAATGAAGTGCCTTTGAAAAATCCGTTTTCAATTAGTGGTTGTGTACATAGAAAACAGACGTTTCATCATAATATAACTAGAAAGTTTGCACTATTTTCGTGTTGAAACCCAAATTTATGAATGAAATCGTTGGGCACATAGAAGCATTGAGGGTTGGTTTCGGGGGCAACTTCTTTTGCTGGCAGCGGGATCAGTTTGATCTGGATCGGTCAATCAATCAGTCAATCTAGCAATCGAATGAAGTTGTAACAGTCCATTTTGACAGTTAAAACAATTTCATTCATAAATAGGCAAATGATAACTCATAACATTGATCACCCTGTATTTGAAAATACCATCCGTCAGAACGACGAAACGAACGAAAGAACAAACAATTAGATAACCACTTTTTGTGCGAACTAAAAAAGCGAGGCGTAGCGATCGAATTCTTTCATCGCACAAACGAAAACATTTTACGAGAAGAGAATGAACGTGCGGAATAGTTTCACGAAATTCGGATTTATATGCAGCTGAGTTTTGGGATTATTCATTGTGAAACAATAAACCATATCAATTTCTATTGTGCGGTCTACTCAAGTGAAGTTTTCTTGATGCTTTTGGTGGAAATTGATGCCTGTTGCAGGGATTCCGGTGTGTCATCGTTTCATCACTTCTTATCTTTTTGTAAGTACGACTTCCCAACTAGTTTTTTCAAGTAAGGAATCGATGAATTATCCATTACAGATTGCCTCAGGCGATCAGGGCTAATCGACTTCATCATCTTTGGTATTTGGGCTACGTCCGTGTCAGCGACTGAGCCTCCAGTTAGGTAATGATAGTTTTTTTCCTTATCTTTGCCTTTGTGTGTATCGATGCAGGGCCTACTCTATCTCACCGGGTCGGAGCATCTCTTTCGTGACATCACAAAATCGAGGCGCTGGGAATTGCGTTTCCCAATTCATTGGTGTACCACGGGAAAACGGTAACAGTTATCAAAATATGTCAAGAGATCAAATATGTACAGACTAGACTTTTTCAAGAGATGAATCAATATTCACTGATTTATGATTAATAGTTCAGGAAATATAGCATATCAAAATGAATTGACTACATTCAGAATTGTCGTTTTTTGTACAGCTGCTAGAACTTCAATATTCAATTCACAGAAATGATTCAACCATGCAAAGGCTTCTCAAGGTATCTAGATTGACTGTAATTTTTTTACAAAATTCTCAAGAGCCAATAACAAACCGATATTTCAATTCAAGTGAAATGATGATTCAGATGATTATTACAGACTAGTTCAAAAAGTTTAGACGGCCCCCATGCTAAACCTATTAGTTGTGGATATATACTGTCGCTGACTTTTTTGTAGTGAATTTCATTGCCTACAAATCGATATGATGCACTTTTACTGTATCTCAGAGGATTTTAGCAGGGTTTATGTCTAAAGATAATCTGGACACACTTTGATGACGTTAGAGTAGAAGTTATTACACAAAAACCAAGACAGCCAGTTAATTATTTTCAGCTATGGAGTATATATTTTAGAAATAATCTCATATTAATGAAGATAAATTGATCCGAAAACATTTTCAAAATATGAAAATTAAAAAGAACAAAAAATAAGTAGTTCTCATACACACAATACTAAACGAGAGCCATTTTGAAAATATTCAACATATTAAAAGAGAAAAAATTGACAGATATTACAGAATAACATGCACTTATAACAAAATATATATATATCACAATCTGAAAAATGGGCTTAAAGCTTCATATTCATCCGGAAAGTCTGATGTTTCATCTTTTTCTATTATTTGAGTGTATCCTGCTATATTACATATGTAATAATGTAATACCTAATTATTCAACACAATATTTGATATAGTTTTCATAATATCATAAGACCCACAACTGGAACATGAGTAATAAAACGTGAATTGCCCAATTACCGCGAAATCGTTAATATGGGGAAATTAGGTAAGTATAATACTAGACAAATTTTTACGCGCTGTATATTTCTAATTTATTTCGGACTCATTGTAGGTAGCTCAATAATTTTCTCACTATTCGATTGATGCATTATCCTAGTTTGACATACTCAGTCAGTTCTATTTTAAACCGATTCCAAATTGGCAAAAATTAGTATTCTGTAGTACAACGTCCTGATTTTCATTAAAATTGGATTTCTTCACAACATCATAAATCAGTACTGGTTCATCCTAATGAATTTATTTTTTCACCGAAAGTTGGGTAGTTCATCATGGATCAATTCGTCTCGATTGAGTGTCATTCTAATTTTTAAAGTAAATGAGCTATAACCTTTCAATTTCGAACACACCGATATGAAATGATGTGAAGTCTCAGCCTACTAGTGTGACGTCAGCATCGAGATAAAGGGGATAGACTACGGCCCGGTGAGATAGAGTAGGCCCTGATCGATGCCGATACCAATGAGTATACAGGGTGATCCACGGTGGATGGCCTATCAGAAGTATCTGGAGAACGAAAAGACAGAACATTCTGAAAATTATGATGCTTCGATAATTGAAAATTCTCTATCCACTTCTATCAGGAACAACTAGCAACTTCGTTATTTCAAATGGAGCACCCTGTATTTCATTGCATTTTCAAATTCTTCCTGAAGAGCTGATTTCATCAATGCATCACACTTGGGGTCTAGCAGGAATGATTACAGAGATATGGGGTGTTCAAAAATCGAGATTTTTAAATTTTAGGGTTTTTTTACTATTCATTATCGATCAAAACGGCTTACATGTCCCTATCTTAACTTTCGATTCACTATCTACTGACATTCAATTGGAGCAGACAGTTTTACGTCATTTCAAATAAACAAATTCATGTGGCCGAAGTAGCTTACAACAAATAACTGGCGACATGTACATAACCGGTTCTATTGCGAATCATGTGGGCTGTCTCTCACCCTTATAGATGAACAATTGAGTGCGTCGGAATTATTTGAACCACCACCTGACTAGCGTTGCCATATGGCAACACACGGCACTAACGAGTTAAGATGGGGGGACCCTTCTGCAAAACTCACCTTGATGGTGATCCTCGGATGCGGCGGACACTCGTCGAACTCCAAGCTCTTCTTCTTCCGCTTCCGCTTGTGCTCCTTGCCCAGATCCGGCGAGTACCGGCTGCGGTGCTTCTCGCGCCTCCGCTTCTTGCCCGACTTGTGCCCTCCCTCGAAACCGTTGTCGACCACGATCTGGACGCCGTTCGTTCCGGCCAGCTCGCTGATCAGCGTCGAAAAAGCCGGATCCGGATCGCCCGCGGCCTCCTTCGATCCTGTCGGGGACCTGATTCGCGGTTTGGGCGGCGAGGAGACCTCTTGGTCCGACTTGCTCTCCCTATTATCAGGAAGTTCGACCATTGAGTCACCCTTGCTTAGGGTACAAACATAATAGACCAACAACACCCCTGATTATATCGTTAGACTTGAATCGAAGTCTACCAAATTGAGTCACTTCATTCTGAAAACTGCTTTGTCAGGGATATATCACATTAACAACCTACCGGACTCCCGTTTACCAAAAATATGTTACAAAAGCCTTATACAATTACGTGAGAATATGAATATTAGATACAATTGGGCAAGGCAAATCAAACAATATATGGCAATTACTGGACACAATAACTTTCTTAGTGGGAACCATGATGAAAATAGACTGGTGTAACCACTTGTCAATTGTTTCTTTCCAAAACGTGTAGACCGCGAAACACCGTAGCAAGGCCGCACCGGATTGACTGTAGATGGCGTAGGGAACATCGTGCCACATATACTTCAGAGATATAATGAAAATTTCACATCTTTTTCATTAAATCAATCTTTTTTCTCAATGTTAATCAAGTAGGCCAGAGGTCTACAAAAATTTCTAGGGTTTTGTAAGAGGGAGCTATTTCACCACCTTTGTGGGAACTTTGGAGCTGTAGATTTGAAAAAAAGAGGTGCGGAGGTTCTTGAATCATACAAAAATGATCTTTTTCGTGATGATCAGAACAGACTGACTGACTCAACGTATCAATAATCAATATGTATAATCATTTCACAAGCCAAAATGGTTTGTTTTATCTGGAACTGCTGATCCCTATCAGTGTGATCAGAATAATTTGTCAAATACGTAGTGAAGATCAGAATCCTTTTTCATACAGAGGAATGTACTACAAAATTGATTTTACTCAGCTCTGAACAATTTGTAATATGTACAGGAATGAGAGTCTAGAACATATTTTTTTCGAATGTCCGCTTTATGAAAACCTGAGGAATCCATTAAGACCGAGTATTACGAATCTTGCTGATCTTATTGATGTCCTTGACACTGGTACTCCCAAAACTCTTTTCACAATCTTTAACTATAAAATTAACATCCTCAAACTACGTTCCTTCATATTGAACGAATGAACTCAAATTTAACCCCTATATATGTTTTTTTTGCCACCCTAAATTTTCACATCTATTTGCTTGCCCTTTTCCGCTCTCTGCAGTTTTTCTGCGTGTTCACTGTGTTTCAATCAATTAAGCACTTCATTGCAATATAACAATATATCTATGTGTGTATGTATGAATGTGTATGTGCATATATATCTATAGTCAAGTATTTTGTGAAAAAAAAATGAACCAAAGATCGTGTGATAAGAAAGTAATTTTTCTTTTGACACAATAAATTGAATTGAATTGAAATGAATAATAGACCAAGAGCTAGCGACCGCCAGACTTTTCATTTAAACAAAGTTGACATTTTCTATGTGTGTTATAACTCATACATAATTTGCGTTTTATTAGTTGCGTTTTATTGGCATTGCCAGTGTCACCAGTGGGACAGAATCACCGTTTCATTGACTATTCTGTGGAATTTCTTATCATCCTGGTGGCACTGGCCATTCGGTCTTAAAACATCGAATGCGTTGTGGAATGTTTGACAAATAAGGGTATTTGATATACATCATAATAATTTTTTTGTAATAAAAAACTTTGTAGAATAGAAATATTAGATACGGAATGAGGAATAGGTAGGTACCTACTGATGGAAAAGATGAGCCAACAAAAGAGGAAAATGTACATATAACTCATGGAAATATTGTATTGAATCTTGGTATAACAATCTCATAAACATTTTCAATTTTTTGGACTTCAAAGAGTAATAAACATAGACAAAGCGTTGACAAAGTGAAATAGAATGAGTAGAACTGAATGGAGGAAACAAGACAAGTGGATGCACCTCCAAATTAAAGGTCTGACCAATCAAAATGTGTACCACTTTTGTCGTCACTCTTATATGCCACTTCGTACCCCTACTCCACCCACCTGTTGCTATAAATACTTCGGCTTCTTCTCGGCGTCTTCATCTCCTCCACCTCCGAGTCTGAGGACTTGTCACACTCGGAGCACTGCCAACCGTACAACTTCGACTTCTTCGGCTGTCTGGCCAGAGGGGGCTTGAGACAGTCGAGGTGGTAGTGCAGCCGACACGTGTCGCAGGTGGCCAGCAGGTGCTGATCGCGTCTGAGGCCGCACGTGGCACATTCGTTTAATAACAGTGGGTCTGATGATAAAATAGCTCAGACTTAATAACGGTACATAGACATCGCCATTTATTCGTGAACGGTTGAATGAATGAATTCGCGAATGGTGGGGATAATATTAGACAGTTGTGCGTTTTCGGATGAGTGCTCAGACTAAATAACAATAGATAGATACCGCGATTCATTCAGCAATCATTGAAAAGTATACGCTCACAATCTTAAACGTCAAACACGGATGAATGAAAGAACACGCATATACACGATAATAACAAACACTTGTTTATTTGCGGGTGAGTGCAAGAACGGAATAACGATAGATAGAAACCGCGATTCTAAACGCCAAACACGAATAAATAAATGAAATCGCGAATAGTGGGGATAATGACAGATACTTCGACACATGCAGTTAAGTGCATAGCTCATTTAAAAAGTAAACGTCAACAATACTAAACGCTGAACACAGATAAATGAATGGAATTGCGAATTGTGCGGACAATATCCCACTTGTACATCTGCCGGTGAGTGCTCAGACTAAATAACAATAGATAGACACCGTGATTCATTCATCAATCATTAAAAAGTATATGCCAACAAGCCTAAACACGGATAAATGCATGAGAAGAAATCGCAAATGGTGAGGATGATTATGAGGAATCATTTGCTTCGTCGAAAAAAGCTCTAGTGTAATGGGGAAATTTCTAATATTGAGGTTAATCTCATTGTGGAGTTTATAAAAATTCAATATACTGTGTCATCCATAAAATCGGCATCATATGGAAAAACGTTCAATAATAATTTATTTCGAAATTCAACTTGGACGTTGAGTTTTGCTCCAAAAAAAGATGAAAAATAGCCCACTCTGTCAGTGTCACGTGACTCGCTACATGTCAAAAGTTGAATTTTTTGAAATTTATCGCTGAAATTAGTGTTATTTGTTCAAATTTCAAAAAAGTTTACTAGTTAAATTTGTTTCTCTTCAAATTTTACACATGTGTTTCGCATCCGAACGTTCTATTGCAACTGTTAGCTCTTGATATTTTTTGATTTCTTCTAATCTGATCTAACTTCGACAAAACTGTCCTAAACTTCGATGAGATACGGGAAGTAGCTTGATGATATTTTGATAGGTGACTTTGGCATCATTTTAGTACTGGAAAAATCCATTTCAATGAATTTCCCTCCTGACTGCTAGACGATAGATCAACTTTGCATCAAACATAACAGGAATTTGAAGCAGGAATAAGTATTTTCTGAAAAAAATCATATTTTTGTCGATAATTAGTGACTGAAAGTTAGTAGGATGATAAAGCTACTAGAATGAAATAGACATTTTGGAGAAAAGGAAAAAATATCAAAAACTGAAAGTTGTTATGGAACGTTCGAATTTGAGACACATTTATGTAAAATCGGAATAGAAACACTTTTTCTTCGTGACCTTCTTTGAATTTCAAACAAATAAGTCTATTTTCAGCGATTGATTTGGAAAAATTAAACTTTTGACAAGTAGTGAAAGTCACGTGACCCCAACAGAGTAGTTCATTTTTCGTAAGATCAAATTTCACTTCAGAAAAAAAAAATAAACAGGACCTTGGCTCCTTCACCATTCCTATGACGTAGAAAAGCCACATTCACACAGAGTTAAAATACGATTCCCTGTGTCAGTACGACGTTGGCAGCAACATCAATATGTCCAGAATTCCGGAAATTGTTCTACGAATACATTATAACTATATCACAACATCATCATCATCATCATTAATAGAATATAATAGGTTTTTTAATCCCACTTCGTGAAGTATTATGAATAATTTGCAAAAATCTCTTATCTGCTGGATGAAGTTTATTTGCTGCTAAAGGTTCATAATGACCATTTTGCAGATTATAGCTTGCAACAGTGCATAATACTTCGAGTCCGTCCACACCACACGAAATGACAGACACAGTGAGAGCTGATCTGATTTTATCGTTATGTATGTTTTAATTTGTGTCGATTTTTGATATCCAGTTATTCGTTACCCGTTAGCCTACGTCTACAGTTTATAGTTGTTTTGTTAGTCGATCATCGATATTTTTCATGATATAATCAACAACGACGCCAAGCTGTCTTCTTCTCCTATTTTTGAATTCGTTAGCCGTTTGCTATCTATATCCTTCATCATCAGCTAGATTAGGACTATATCAGAATGTATGTACGTCACAGTTTACCACCTTTGAAAACTGAACTTTTCGATCGCTATTCTGTACAGGGAAAAATCCCCATTTAGATTTTTCAATTTGACGTAGATATCATAAAAATAAACTTTTCATATCATAAGTGAAAAGAACTGGAAGAAAAATCCACCATAATTAGTCACCTTTGCCGGCATGACTGCTCAACACCCTGTCGCCCCTGCCCGACGGGATGTTCTTCAAGGGAAAGCCCACGCCCATCTTGAGGGCGGCGGCGGTGGGCACCATCATCGGCTGCGCCCGGGCGGCCGCCACAGTCCTGCCCAGGTCCTCGATGCTGGGCAGGTTCTTCGTGGCGCACGCGCTGAGTACCGCCGAATGGTACTTGTGGATGGTGTGCTTCAAGTCGTTGCCGGTCGAGGTGATGTCCGTGCTCTTCTTCAGAACCTGAAAACGATTTTCATTATCAAGAACTGTTATATTATGGTCATAATTCAATAAACACGAGCACGAATGACATGGACAAGGGTTACACTTGCTCTTAACTCGGCTGCCTGTCGAATGCTATATGAGCCAGTCTTCACACACGTCTGTCATATGCTCTGATCTAAGCACATTCCACTGAGCAGTAGCGCATCTAGTTGCTAGATGCTAACAAGAACTAAACAATGATCTAACAATATAAGTCTACTAGATCATCCCTAGCAATAACCTTCAATACAAAGCATTGTTGAAAACTGTTGAATTCTGTAAAAAAAAGGGCAATTCGTCTCGTGGGTGATGCCTCGCTCACGGGCTCCCTCGCTTCTCTGGAACACCGTAGAAAAGTTGGCGATCTGGCTCTATTTTATAGATATTTTCATGGACGATGCCCTTCTGAAATGTCAACAATTATTCCTCCCTTGGCAATCCACGCGTGATTAACCCGTCGAGTTGAGGCTTCGCACCCCTTCGTGGTCACTTTGGAGACCTGCAGAACATCTCTTTCCAAAGACTCGTTCATCCTACGAACCGAGAAGCTCTGGAACACATTGCCAAAGGAGGTGTTCCCCGAGGCATATAACCTCCAGAAATTTAAGAAGAACACCAATTCCTACCTTATTTCCCCTGGTTCTCACGATGTTCTCTGAACATTACAGAATATCCCTTTTCGTGGGAACTAATATACAAAGGAGATAGGGCCATCGACATGGAAGCATATTTTCACCCTACCAACAGCAGATAGCTACTCGTTGCCTCTCTCTCTCTTTTGCCGAATTCATTGGTTGATTTTCCACATCTCCTTTTATTCGCGATATATGTTTGATGTCGAAGATATCACATTCACAATGTGTGTAGCACGAGTTTTGTAATTATGGTCCGATTCTATTCAACATTTTCATCTGGAGTTTTAGGAGTCGGATATTATGATTCTTTCGTCAAAATTGGGAAATTCAAGTGAACTGAAAAGAAGTTGAAATAAATGGTAGTTTGAAAAACTAAAGAAACGCGCTATTATAGATAGCGAAATTAATAAGAATCGGAAAATAAAATAATAATAGTGTCTTGATGGATATTGAACTGAAAAAATATATTATACAAATAATGTATATGGCAAAACAACGTTTGCGAGGTCTGCTAGTAATTTATAAGTACCATTTCCTATCTGTATGTATTTATAGATACTTATACAAAACCTATATACAGTGTGTCCCACTTACCATGCTCACCATGGGTATCTTTTTAACGGTGAGAGATACGAGGTCGGTTAAATGACACCAAATGTGAAGTTTGTCAAGACCAACTATAATATGAAAAAATATTTTGATAAAATCTATTCGTTTTTGTTTTATACGCAAAAAACAGATTTTGATCATTTTCATGTCTCCTCGGTAACTTCTTTATTTATGAAAATATTCAAATAGGAATTTCACATTCTCATGGCAGTTTTTCGAAGTGATTTCGAGAAAAATATGAAATTTATACAAACTCTCTTAGAATTTGAGATATTAGCACCAACTTTAGTTTTCCAAATGTAGGTCATAGCTCACTATGACTTAGTTACAAATAACTTTTTTCCTCTTTCAGATGATGTGTTGCAGTAATAGTTTTGTGTTGATAACAACGGAGTTATCGTCATTTATACAAAAACAAAAAATTATTTGGAAGCCGCCATCTTGAATTTATAAATTTTAACAAAAAAATCATGATCTCCGACCTCAAAAACCCCAACTTACCAATTTTCAATGGAATCGGACCAAATCTTGTCCGCCATCTTGGAGCAGCCATTTGTTTTTGATTTCAACAAAAAATTCATGACTCCGATTAACTTGAAATTTGGCAGGTGTTCATAATTTCGGTGACAATACATTATGGAATTTTTGTTGAAATAAAAAAAATGGCTGCTCCAAGATGGCGGACAAGATTTGGTCCGATTCCATTCAAAATTGGTAAGTGGGGGTTTTTGAGGTCGGAGATCATGATTTTCTTGTTTAAATTTATAAATCCAAGATGGCGGCTTCCAAATAATTTTTTGTTTTTGTATAAATGACGATAACTCCGTTGTTATCAACACAAAACTATTACTGCAACATATCATCTGAAAGAGGAAAAAAAGTTATTTGCAACTAAGTCATAGTGAGCTATGACCCACAGTTGAAAAACTAAAGTTGGTGCTGATATCTCAAATTCTAGAACAGTTGGTATAAATTTCATATTTTTTTCGAAATCACTTCGAAAAACTGCCATGAGAATGTGAAATTCCTATTTGAATATTTTCATAAATAAAGAAGTTACGGAGGAGACATGAAAATGATCAAAATCTGTTTTTTGCGTATAAAACAAAAACGAATAGATTTTATCAAAATATTTTTTCACATTATAGTTGGCCTTGACAAACTCCACATTTGGTGTCATTTAACCGACCTCGTATCTCTCACCGTTAAAAAGATACCCATGGTGAGCATGGTAAGTGGGACACACTGTATACAATTTCTGACAAGTCCTATACCATGTACTTGGTCACGGATTAATAAATCTTATCTTATCTCATCTTATCTATTAAATCAGTTAGGTATAACGATATATCTATTAATCAGAATAAAATCACTATTTCTTTGTCGTTGAACTTACCGAATCGTATCTCTCTCTCAGCATCTGCTGCTCCTCCACCAACACCGCGTTCTCCTCCATGTACTTCTCCAAGTTGGCCTTCATCTCTCTCATCCTGTCGTTTCTGTCGAGATAGTAGGCGATGAACTCGACTGTGAAGGCGGGCGGTATGTGCCACTTTTTCCTAATGTCGACCAGAGCACTGGCTTGCGCTTCCTGCATCTCCACCGCTATGGTGTTGATGCCCATCAACTCTGCCTTGCGCAATAACTTTCTGCACGCTGAAGCGCTGGTGGTCAGGAGACGTGGCATCTTCTGGGTCGGGACTGAATATGACAAGAGTTTTTTTTATAGTAGCCGGTTTACTCAGGGTTGCCACAGGTGGTGGACTATTTTTTAATTTCTTAAATTGAATCATCACTCGAATACCTTTCAATTTCGTATTTTTTTAGAATTTTTTGGTCGATTTCAAAGTGCTTAAGTCATTAATAATGCCACCGTAATTTTCAAACGCCTAGAAATTTACCGCGAGTAAAAACTCACGTCGCAATTTAGTAAGTAGGGGCAGCACATCATCAATTAATGTATTGGTAATATTCCTAATTAGCAATAAAAAATCAATCGTCTCAAAATGTCCCCTGACGTGTTGTGGCTTATTGCTTATAATAAATTTGTGTGAATAATAATTATAATAATTCATAATAATTATACTAATTCACACTAAGGCTATATTCCGAATTCAACTGACAGTACTGAATCAAAAATCACTGAATGTGGTAGATCCTTGTGAGCAAATATACTATTCATTCCAAATACTTCGACTCAACATTCTGCTGAAATTGCTGAGTATCAAAAGGTAGTGTGGCTACAGTAAACTGTCATTATTTCAGAAGGGGAAGGAATGTAACATTTATTTCCGTTGTTAATTATATTATTTTCAATATCAGAAAATGACCGTTATTAAAATAATAAACGCTGAAAGCAATATGGAGTATGAAGTAGAAGAGGTCACGAAAGAAGAAGCAGCAGTGGGTGAATAAATATCTAAATAAGCATGAAATGTCTTCTAAATTCATAATTATTAATGCCATATTACATAAATGTCCAAGTATTACTCATCACTCGAGCTTGAATCGTCATCGTCGACAATCCAAGAAACTATGAAGGCTACAAGAACCGATTGATCTTCCATGTTAAATATTAAATTTCCAAAATGTATGTCAAGCAGGAGGCTAAATTATCTAGTTCAGATAAACGAGAAACTACAGACTGACAAATTTCACCATGATCAACTGCTACTACTGATGAGAACCATGAAAACGTGTTCCGAATTACAGCATTGTATTTTTGATTCTATATTTCGGAACAAAGATTTTCAGCAGAGTCAGTGGATCTACTGACAGTACTGACCAGTTGAATTCGCAATATAGCCTAAATGACATTTTGAAGCGGTAAACGTGACAACACGACGCACGAATTGTGGGCGTGGTCATGTCAGTACTCAGCATTCAGCACAATGTTGCCAAGTCTCCAACATTTACATGATATGGAGTATAAGAAATATTTGGACATGCTGGTTGCTTGAAAGAGTCAAGAATGAACTTTCGAAAACAGGACTCTAACATCTTCTTGATAACCTGATTGTAATTGGTGACTTGGCAACATTGCTTAATGAGTGGGAATGAAAGATTATGGGACCAATAACGTAACAGCATAAAAACTGACGTCACCATTTATTCGACGTATCGCCAAATGGCGGCCATGACGGTACGTTTGAAATTCAACAATTTCGAACAAAGCATAGGCCCATCATTGATATAAAAAACATGACAAGTGTTGCAGAAATTAATTTAGGTCCCTAACGACACAGTGGAGTAATTGAATGCCAATAATTCATTATCAGTTCACCCGCCCATTGTATCTGATTTGGTACATTTTTTCAAGGAAAGTGCGTAGGTACTATATTCCCAAAATAATGCCATTTTTTGTACAAAATCCATTCGCTCGATATTCATCTCTAATAGATGAAAATTGCATATCCATTCATTGACTTCTTTTTGTAAATTATTATCATTATACTGTGAAAGTACAAAGATTCACACCACAGATCTCAAGTGATTCACACTCAGTGTATATTGTGCATATTGCGCATTTCTATGCGCTGTCGCACCAGATACAAAATTACAAACAGTGGCGTTATGATTTTTCATAAACAATATCAACTGTTATTCTCAAAACACCCCCTTCGAATGTCAATAAAAGCACAGAAAGTGTCATCGAATTATCTATGGAAAATGATTATTTTATGAAATTTCAAACATGCTGTGTAACGATAACAAAGCATTTACGGACCTACCTTCATAGGCCATTTTCTCCTGTGATGAGTAATGGAAAAAATATTTCAGTAAATTTTGCAAGTCTACTTTCAAGTGATGGATTTGAAGATTACTAGTTTTACATAGCACCCGGTGTACTGATCAGCAAATCTTGCGTTATCTATGGCAATTTTCAGCGGAAGGTTGGACCATGGTCAATTTGTCCACGTGGTCTCATTCGAAATGATGCCAAGCATGAGCTTAATCGTTCCGTCCATTATTTTAGTATTTTTCCGTCAGTCAGAATGACATGCAAATGCGTTTGAATGAACGTTTTCGAAGGTGAGACTTGATTTTTAGCATAAAAGAGAGTTAACATCTGACAATTCCACGAACTATATGAAGCTATCATCTTTAGAGTCACTAAATGGTATTAGTAGATAAGAGTTCGGACACAGCTCAACTTCTGCCCTTTTCTATTTTGTAGTTTCTATTTTACAATAGATTGAGTCTGCTCTTTATCTTTTCAATTTCCCTAGTAGCACCTGATAGTCAGATACGAGTTTAGAGGTTATATTTCCTGTCAAATTAATCATAGCCGTAGACATAGGAATAGGAAATATAGTATAAACACTCACTTCAATTTATAGCGATGCGGCACTTTTCGCAGAACAACAATTATAAAAATGAAAAAAGTGCATGTAACAACATTTCAATGACAAAATAGACACATATGGATACACTTATAGCTAGTTCGGTCGGTATTTAAAATACCATTCAATGATATATCACGTTGCAATTCACTTGATTTCCTCAGTTTCGTTCTCAAATTTTCAATTTCATTACGTATTTTTGCAAGAAATTCCTCTTTCTCCTTGATAGTTTTGTTTTGCATTTCGTGTGATGATAATAATAATAAGTTCTCCTTTCAAATAGTCTGTTTTGTAAATGATTGGGACAGCATATTCTCTCAATCTTGAATTCTTCTGTTTGAAAATATGGCCAAAAATCTAGTTTCCTTCTAATCTGCTCTGTTTAGTTTCCTTCTAATCTGCTCTGTTATAAACAGTGAATTTCAATTTTTATCTTTATGTACATCTATGTACCTCACAAATTTTGCATGATGTGTTCTAATTAATTTTCCATCCAGGCCGTTCCATACATTCCTTCCATAAGAGAATGAGGTTGGTATTTCCTTTTTCGGATTAAATGAATGTAATCCATTCTCTTACACAGCAGGCCATTTTCATTTATTCTTTCTTCTCAATAGTTTCTGAAATAGGTCGCGTGCACGATGACCGACCCTGGAGGCAAAATATTGAAACACAACCTTATTCTTCTATGAATTATTGAAACACAACCTCACTGTTTTACTTGGTTACAGAGGAATCAAAGGATTGAAATAGTTTTTCACAATACTTTGGCATACGAATCGTGTTTTTTGCGCTATTCATTAATTCGAGCATGCCTTCGCATTGTGCTGTTGTACAATGCACAAAAAATGCAGCAAGAGACTAAAGAATATGATTTTTCAGGTAAATAGTAATCTCACATAGTTATCATTATGAAATGTTGTCATTCCTTATTAAAATTCCTTCTGCCTTCTGTCACTTCTGCAATACAAGCTAATACTGCTAATAGATTGAAAATGTCTACAACACACACGATCGTCAGCATGTCAGACCAGTCCTCCCGATTGATTGCATGAATCCAATTTTCTGGCATTATTTTAGAAATTTCAGATGTATTTCTATTAGCTTCTATCGCAGAAAGAATTCCGATGAGAAATCAGAGAAATTACCAAATTTCAAAAATGAAAACTATATGTGAGTGACTATAGTAGGTACTTACTTTTAAATCATATTGTACCATACGGATTCATTCATCTTCTGCTGCAGTTTTTGTGCATTTCACAACAGCATAATGTAATGGCATGAGCGAATTGATGAATAGCGGAAAAATACGATTCGTATGCCAAAATAATTGTGAAAAACTATTTCAATCGCTTGTAAACAAATAAGTAAAGTGAGGTTGTGTTTCAATATTTTGCCTCCAGTGTCGGTCATCTGACAGTTCTTGCACGCAACCCATTATATTTCGATTCTGACGTTCATAGTATTTATTGTCAAATTCTAACAATTTTGAATGAAAAAGCGCGGAACGACTATAATGCTCTTGTCACAATGCAAGGTGTGTAACTTAATGAATCTAAACCTTCAAAAACACTGACAGTGTAATTTCTGTGTCCGAACTCTCATCTAATACCATCCAGTGACTCTAATCATCTTCTGGCGAGCATTGAATTTCACCCCTGGTTTATCGCGATAGAGAGGGGGACATATAACGACCTCTCGCTCAGTTTCGTAAATATCGAACTGCGTGAGAAAGGAGACTACTTTTTCTGAAAAATCTAACCTAACTCAGCCTAATCTACAGGGTGACAGGTGATATTGAAAAAAAAAATACAAATATTTCAAACTTTGAATGATTTCGACGAATACTATTATGATCGCGTAAAATCCATCCACGGCAAGACTCTGAATCCACCCAAAGTTCTACACTGTAACAATTCTAACGTCACCTCTCTACAAATTTCCGTGCCGAAGGCATATTCACGCGGAGTTTAATCATTTAAATTGCCGTGACGTGAAGTATTTGTTTTTTCCCGATTTTTATTAAGTTTTCAAGAAAACATTTCTTACTTATTGACAGAATCAGCAAAAATCTCATATCATGGGAATACTTGTTAGCCTATATTTTATTGATTTGCTCAATTAAAAAACTCATTTCAAACAATGTCTTTTCACTCCACCTCGTATACCTACTATCGATATCAGAATTAGTCATACTTGTTCGGGTACTAATCGGTTTAAAGGATGACGTAAGTCATTATTCATTTGAATGATGCATCAAACCAATCAGCAGTCTCGTTCTATACTTCATCGTGTATGGTCGATTCAAGTGATATAAAAAAAAAACTCGAAGTATTTAAGAGTGGAACATTAGAATTC